AGAGAGAGAGAGAATGAGAGATAGAGAGCACGAGAGGGAAGAGGGTCAGAGGGAGAAACAGACTCCCCGCTGAGCAGGGAGCCCGACATGGGACTCGATCCCGGGACTCCAGGATCATGACCTGAGCCAAAGGCAGTCGCTTAACCAACTGAGCCACCAAGGTGCCCCAGATTTTATTTATTTTTTGACAGAGAGAGAGACAGAGAGGGAACACAAGCAGGGGGAGAAGGAGAGGGAGAAGCAGCCTTCCCACGGAGCAGGGAGCCCGATGCGGGGCTCGATCCCAGGACCCCGGGATCATGACGTGAGCCGAAGGCAGACACCTAACGACTGAGCCACCCAGGTTCCCCTGAGTAGGGCTTCTTTAATTTCTCTTGGTAACATGTTGTAATTCTCTGTGCGGTGGTCTTACACATGTTTCATTAGGTTTATTCTTAGGTGGTCGATATTTTCATATTATTTTAAATGGTATCTTTTTTATGAAACTTTTTACTGAGATAATTGTAGATTCACATGCAGTTGTGTAAAATAATTTGAAAAGCTCCTTTGTATACTTTGCTCAGTTTTGTCAATAGTGACATTTTATAAAACACCAGTAGAACATCACTGCAGGACATTGATATTCACACAATCCACTGATCTTACACGTTTGTTCAGTTTTGCTTGTAGTTGTGTGTGTGTGTGTGTGTGTGTGTATTAAGTTCTATACTGTTTATCACCTGTCTGGGTTCATGTATCTACCATTACAGTTGGGTACGGAACAGTTCCAAAACAACAAGGGTCTGGGGCGCCTGGGTGGCTCAGTCGGTTAAGCATCTGCCTTCGGCTCAGGGCATGATCCCAGGGTCCTGGGATCGAGCCCCGCATCGGGCTCCGTGCTCGGCGGGAAGCCTGCTTCTCCCTCTCCCTCTGCCTGTCTGCTTACTTGTGATCTCTCACTCTCTTTCTCTCAAATAAATAAATAAAATCTTAAAAAAAAAAAAGAAAAACCAACAAGGGTCCTTTGTGTTGCCCATTTGTAGCCACTGCCACCTTCCTCCCACCTTTACCCCTTCACCCATCCCTAGCCCCTGGCACTAATCTGTTTCCATTTCTAAAATCTGTAGTACATTCCTTGTTCTTGCAGAGTGGTGTTCCATGGGGTAGGTGGACCAGGTGTTTCACCAGTCATGTGTTCACATACATCTAGGGTGATTCCAATTTTTGGTGATTATCAGTAAAGCTGATATTCTGACAGTTTATCTTTCTGTTCTTTTGTTTTATCTGTGTACAGGATCATATCATCTGTGAATAATGACAATTTTATTTTGTCCTTTATAATTCTTATACCTTTTATCTCTTTTTCTTGCCTGATTGCATTGGCTAGAACCTTTAGTACAATGTTGAATCGAAGTGGTGATATTGGGCCTCCTTGTTTTATTTATTACCTGAGAAGAAAAGCTTTCAACATTTTATAGTTAAGTATGATGTTTGTTGTGGGGTGTTTATAGATACTTTTTAATCAGAATTAAGGGAATTTTCTTTATTCCTAGTCTTTTTAGTTTATAACATAAATGGTTGTTGAAATTTATCAAATGTTTTTACTCTCTTGGGGGCACCTGGGTGGCTCAGTCAGTTAAGCATCTGCCTTCAGCTCAGGTCGTGATCCCGGAGTCCTGGGACTGAGTCCCATGTAGGGCTCCCTCCCATGTAGGGAGCCTGCTTTTCCCTCTCCCTCTGCCCCTCTCCCTCTCTCTCAAATAAATAAGTAAAATCTTTAAGAAAATGTTTTTACTCTCTATTGAGTTGATCATAGAATTTTTCTTTTCTGTTCTGTTAGCAGGCAAATTCCACTGATTGTTTTTCTAATGTTAAACTATCCTTGGTTTCATGGTATGCACCCACGTGGTTGTGGTGCATTATGGTTTCTTTCATGTGCTGAATTTTTGCATCTGTGATCATCAGTGAGATTGGCTTAATTTGCCTTTCTTATAATGCCCTTATCAGGTGTTTAGAATCAAAATTTTATGTTCTTATATAAATGATATGGGGCGTATTCTTTCATCTTATGTTCCCTGGATGAGTGTATATAAGATTGGAATTATTTTTCTTTAAATGTTTGGTAGAATTCAGTGGAAAGGTCATTAGAGCCTGGAGTTTTTTCTTTTCTTTCTTTCTTTCTTTCTTTCTTTCTTTCTTTTTTTTCTTTGAATGGGCTCCATGCGGTACTGGATGAGCAGTCTGGAGCAGCTACGTGCACAGCCCTTCTCTCAGGGTATTTGTGACATGTTAGTGTAAAGCCTCCTACCATGCAGCAAACCTCCATCAGCCCAGGGGCCTCATAGGGCCCCCACCACTGCCTCATGGGACTTCCCCGTGCTCAGGTCTCTGCTGTCCTTGGAGAGGTCTTTCTTTCAACTTTTTCTAGGTCTTTCCATAATTTATGCTCTGTATAATTGAAAATTCATCTTTCTCGTGTGAGTTCTTAGGGGAAACGTGTCATTGGTTGTCAGGCTTGTCAGGGTGTGTTTGATTTCAGGTGATTCTGTTCTTGAAGAAGAAGGACGGGTTCATCGGCCTGGTGTTGAAGCACATCGGCACCTCGGCCCTCATGGACCTGCTGCTGCGCCTCGTCAGCTGCGTGGAGCCGGCTGGGCTCCGGCTGGACGTCCTGCATGTGAGTGTGTGGGCCCCTCCTCCCCGGGGCCCTCTCCCTGTCTTCCAGTGCTCTGCAGGCTGAATGCACAGTGAGTGCCTGGCTCAGGGAGGCCAGAGTTGGGTGAGGGAGCTCAGAGAACGCGGGAAGGTCAGCACCCCTGGCTTTCCATCCAACATTACTTTCTCCCTGTGGGGTCATCAGGGGTTCTTGTCAAGGCTTGTACTTGAGGCTGGGCCTGCAGTCTGCACCTTTTCTGCTGTACTGCCTCAGTCTACCCAGAAGCAAGGAGCAGAGTGTTCCTTTCCCCCCGACACTCTGGCCTCCGCCTCTGTGAAGAAGCAGAAGAGGGCTTTCCTCACCGTCCCCCAGATCCTGGTGCCCCTGTGGCCTCAGAGCAGGAGTTCTGTCAGGTCCTGGCTTTATGAGGAAGGCATTAGCTGACAAGGGTTCCATGCAGCGAAAACAATAAAGACCAAAGCAGGCCTGTTTTTTGTCCTAGGGTCTGTGAATGTGTCTGTCCTGACAGGCTCCCAGTAAGAGGAGTGAGTACTTGTAGCTCCCTGACGGCTTTCCCAGAAAAGAGGAGGATTCTCATCTCAAAGAAACCAGGAAATCAGTGCTGGATAAGCTGTTCACTGTTGTTGGGCAGGTTTTGTTTGTAATGCAATTTAAAATAAAGCACTTGGTCCTTCTTGCCCATTTTCCAGCTCCTGGCGTCAGGTGAGATGTCATCAAGGTGGCACTTCTCACCCTTAGGTTCATTCTGGAGCTGCCTTCCACAAAGACTTAATCACGACAGCTAATGTTAGGCAGTGAGTGCAGCATAAACGTCAGCTGTTAACAGCAGAAAGCCCGCATAAACTCGATGCTGAGCAGCCACGGAGGCAAATCTTCCAGTCTGGGATAACGAAGTGCACTGGTTTCCCCTGGGCGCCCCCCACCTTTGTGCCTTGAACAGTGCTGGGCACTCAGTCCTCCCAGCACTCCTGCAGCTGCACCAGGCCTCTGTGCTTCTCCTGCTCTTGGAAAGGCCCTGATGCCACAGAGAGTGGAGCATAGCTGGGCTCCACGTGCAGCCAGGCTATGCACTGGGGGGAGAGCCCCAGCTCCAGCCCCTTCTGTCTTCTGAGATATCCTGAAGACAGTATGTTTAAGAGTCTAGCACTGGGACAGAAGGACCATGGTTCTCTTCTTCATGGAGTTTGGATCACCCCAGAATTTGATGACGATTTTTTCTTTCTGGGTCTGGGTGGACACACATTGTTGGGCAAAGACTCTCTGTCCCTGGAATCTGGCTCGTGGATTTCTTCTGCACCAAACGACTTCCCTTCTGTTGAGTTAGACATGAACAGCGTCATTGACAGGCCTCTTTTTCCCTTTCAGTGGCTTAATGAAGAGAAGATCATCCAAAGACTCGTGGAATTGATCCATCCAAGTCAGGATGAAGATGTGAGTTTAGCTCCCATGGAGCCTGCCTTCTATAGAGCCCCCTACTCGGGGCTATTGGAGAATGGTCTCTGCTGCTGTGGGGGCAAGTTGCTCCTTTCCTTAGATGAGGACCAGTTAGACACTTTTCCTCCTTTAATCAAGCACTGACTTCTAGACTATTTCTTTTCAGTAAAAAAATAAAACTACATTTTATAAAAAAACAACGGAGCTGAATTAGTTATCTCATCTCTGGCTGAGTAACAAATTACTTTAAAACTTAGTTGCTTATAACAGAAAGTATTTTTTATTTCTGTTTCTATGAGTCAGGACCAGGACATGGCTTAGTGGGTGCTCTGCCTAGGGTCTGTCACAAGACTGGTCATGTCAGGGCTCAGCAGGGGAGGGCCCGCTTCCAGGGTCACCCGCGGCTCAGCAGGACTCGGTTCCTTGAGGGCAGTGGACCTGTCCACAGGGCAGCATTTAGGGTGCTGCTGGCTTCCGTTGGAGTGAACGAGACGGAAGTCATTCTTCTGCAAACTCAGAAGGGACAGTCTGGGACACCTGGGTGGCTCAGTCGGTTGGGCATCTGCCTTCAGCTCAGGTCATGATCTCAGGGTCCCGGGATCGAGTCCCACATTGGGCTCCCTGCTCAGTGGGGAGCCTGCTTCTCCCTCTGCACCTCCCTCCACTTGTGTGCTCTCTCTCAGATAAATAAAATCTTTTTTTTTTTTTTTTAAAGGGACAGTCTGCACTGTGGCTGTATTCTGCTCTCTTGAAGGGAGTGGCTGGGTCCAGCCCATTTTTGAGGAGGTGGGATTTATGAGGGTGTGAGCTCTGGGAGGAAGGCCCCCCTGCCAGTATAGAAGCATGTAGGATGGCAGTGGGGCTTCCTCTCTTGGCCCCCTGTCCGCTCCCTGCAAGAGTCACTGTTGAGAGTTTGGAGTATATCCTGATAGGCCTTTTTCTATGTGTGACAAAACTAAACACACTTGCTCGCCCTCAGCAGTTGGAGAACAGTGGTGCCGACTATGTCTTAGCCTTGCTGCGGCCCGGCCACTCTGTTTTCTGTTCCTGTCTGTCTCCGGGGCCGTCAGACAGCTGGGCAAGGGGGCCTGTGCTCCCGACTGAGGAGAGTGGGTGCCACTCCACCAGCATGAACGCTGTGGGCTGACTGGCCTGCTCCTCGGCCCAGAGGCAGGGGTGAGGCCACAGTGACCTCCTGGCTGCTTTCATTTCTCCCTAAAATAAGTCGTGCATGCACTTCCTTTAACCCAGAGTTCCCACAGCGTGCATGTGAGGGCTGTGTGTTCTGATGCTCCTGGCAAGGAGCCAGGGGATATCTCTCTCTAGTCAGTTCATCTGCATCACTGAACACCCCACATTGTTGCAAGTGCGCGGTCCAGATTTTCACTGGTTAAGGATTAGTGTTGCCCTAGAAGAGTCGAGGCCTCCTGCTTTCTCTGTAGCATCTTGCCCGTTTCCATTAGCTTCCAGGACTCATTCTGAATGTTACCAGCTACGATTTAATACTTAATATTTTAAATATGAATTTAAAATACAGTGTCCGTAACATGGTCACATATACAGTATATCTCAAGATGGTTCAAGGGAGAGAGCAATGTCTATGTGGTGTATTTGACCCTTGAGAGAGCCCCATTTGGACTCTTGGGGATAGTTCAGTTCATCTGGAAGGTCTGACCAGACTTGCATCCTGACACCAGAAAGGCCAGTCAGGCGGCTCTGAAATGGACTGGTTTAGAGAGTCCAGTGTCCTTCTGAGAACTGAGCAGTGGGGTAACTCCCACTGTCCAGGAGGCAGCTCTGCTGGCCTTTCTCCTCAACCCTGAGGGGAGTGCAGCATCTCCTTTTCCTTCCAGAGACAGTCCAACGCCTCTCAGACCCTCTGTGACATCATCAGGCTGGGCAGAGAGCAGGGCAGTCAGCTGCAGGAGGCTCCGGAGCCCGACCCCCTCCTCACAGTGCTGGAGTCGTGAGTGCTGGCTGCGGGTGCCTGCCTGGGTGGGTGTGGGGTCTTTCTGAGTCATTAGGGTGTCTCCATGCCCTGCCCTGAGCACCGGCAGATGCTGCTGCTGCCTCCGATTCAGATTCTGACGAGCTGGCTATGAAATACCACATCTAGTTAACTTGCTAGAGCTGTTTCTCATGGGAAGGGGCTCCAGGGGTCTCCTGCCAGGTCCAGTAACTGCAGGCCAGCAGGGGCAGGAGGTCGTGAGAACCCTGGGTGCCTGGCCTGGAGCCTGAGCAAAGCCCCTCTGAGTCTTAGGGTGTTCCTCCTCCATGGAGAGGAGAGATGGTCCTTTGGGCTTCAGGCGGTGCGTCTGCTCCAGCAGCAGTGAGCTCTGTGTGTGTCTGACAGGCAGGAGTGCGTGGAGCAGCTTCTGAAGAACATGTTTGACGGAGACCAGACTGAGAGCTGCCTCGTTAGTGGGACTCAGGTGTTACTTACCTTGTTGGAGACAAGGCGGGCTGGGTGAGTGTCTTGTGTGAGAGAGTGCCGAACGTGATGAGTGGCTGGGTATGTGGTGTTTTTCACAAATTGTTAATTATGTAAGTAATCACTTACATAAGTGATTATGTAAGGGGTAGACCCTCCTTGTTGAAAAGGTAAATGTACAGCTCCTTTGACCTTTGGCATCCATCATGTTCCCGCCCCAGTCCGAAGGCACCAAGGGTCACCAGCTTCCAGAGTGTTCATAGATGTGTCTGTGGAATAGATGTGGCCAGTGAGTTTCTCCGCGGACTGTCCCAGCGTGTGGGGTGTGTGTATGGTATGTGTGCCCCTGTGTGGGGTGTGAAGTGTGCGCATGTGTGCTTCTGTCTGCTCTACTCTGTCCCCTCCTGTACGGTGGTGGTGGCCTGTCTCCCGGGCTGACTAGTTCTCTTATTTCCTTGTTCTGGAGGGAGCTTTGTCGAAGCCCCGGCATTGATAAACTGGACTTAACAGCAACAATGAAAGAACAAGAAAATGACAAGAAATTGAGTTAATGTTGGTAGTGAGATTATTAGCAGTTTTTCTCTTTCTCTCTAGGACCCAGTACATATCTATTAGTTTATTACCTAAAACTAGAATGATGATGCAGTCATTGTTTACTCTAGTTAGGCCACCAGAATATTGATTGTTTGCATCTTTGTGAACCCAGGAAGCCTGGTCCTTTTCTGTAGGAAGTGGGGGCTCTTCTGAGGGCCTTTCCCAGCCTTGGCTGTGGTGAAGGGACAGCATGAAAATGACACATAAAAACAGAGATGAGGGGCACCTGGGTGGCTCAGTCAGTTAAGCGTCCCACTCTTGGTTTCAGCTCAGGTCATGATCTCAGGATCCTGGGGTCCAGCCCTGTGTTGGGGGGGGGTCCACGCTCAGCGGGGAGTCTGCTTGGGATTCTTTCCTCTTCCCTGTCCCTCTGCTCCTCCCCCCACTCGCACACTCTCGCTAAAATAGATAAATAAAATCTTAAAAAAAAAAACCACCACCACCAAAAATAGAGATGAGCCAGCTGATTCTCTTTTTTATTCTTTTTTTGTATTTAAAATGTTTTTCTATAATGGTCACATATTACTTTTATAACTGAAAAAAATTATTTATATGAAGATCTCTGAGAAGTTAGTTGGAAAAAGCTGGAGGGACAGTGTGGAGTCCTGTCTCCTGTTTCTCAGCCAAGGAGTGGGAACCATGGTGACTATTTCCAAAACAAGGGGAGGGGGTCGGAGATGGTCCAGTGAGCGAGAGGTGCCGCCAGCCCAGTGGGGGCAAGGGAGCTGCCCTTGGCCATCACCTGGGAGCGTCTTCTGAAGGCCAGTGGTGCCTCTCTTCTCTCTCTACCAGTCACCAAACCACCCTTGAGCCAATGACTGGAGGCATTGGGGGGCGAGGTGAGACAGAGGATGGGGTGCATCCCACGTGTCTCCATCTGCTGTCCTTGTCCACAGGACAGAGGGCTTGGTGGACTCCTTTTCTCAGGGACGGGAAGGGCTGTGTACCGTCAGCAGCGGCGTACTGCATGGCATTGAGCCACGGCTGAAGGACTTCCACCAGCTTCTGCTCAGCCCGCCGAAGGTAGGTGACCCTGACCAGCTGTTAGGCACCCGTGCAGCCACTGTAGGCAGGATGGTTTGCAAGCAGAGGACCCTACTCCCCAACTTGAGAACCACCAGGCAGATGCCAGAAGCATGTTTTCACACCCTCATCTGCTGAGTGTCCATCTCTGCTCTGAGGTAAGGCCTCGGGGTTGGACATTTTGCAGCCCCCCTGCCCCATGACTCTTGTGCTCTGAAATAGGGGTCATCTGAGAGCCCGTTTACCAAATTGAGGTCTGGCCTCCAAGTCAGGGACACCAGGCCAGGGGTCTGGGAGGGTCCCAGGGGAGCCCTTTGCTCCGCTCAGCAGCTCTGGGCAGCACTTGGGTCATGCGGAGAAGGGCTCAGTCGCTTAGCTGCCATCCAGCCTCACCATGGAGCCCCTCTCAGTCACGGCCCCTTCCCTTTCCTGGGCGCTTCTTAGCAACCACCGTGATTTACTGCACAGCTTATTTTTTTTTATCAACTTACCGTCTGCCTCTCCCACTAGAAAGTGAGCTTCGTGAAGGTAGGGATTCTGGAACATTTGGTTAACGAGAAGGTGGACACGTCATGCTGCCATGCATGGGGTCAGGAAACACCTGCGTCCAGTGTGACAAGGCCGCTGTTACCCGTGTCCTCCGAGAGTCTTCGTGGGGTTAGCTCAGGGTCCTGAGAGAGCTGGCCCCATCTTGGACATGTCTCATGAGCTGAGGTGCACATCTCTTTGCCTGGTTTGCTGAGACCAGACAGCCCTGGGCTTCTTGGGGCAGTGGACCACCATTGCTTACTGTTTTGTGAGGCCCTGAGGGGAGTGGTGGGGTTCCTAACCACGCTGACCCCTCACTTCCTCTTGCAGGCAGTGCTGCCTTGACCAGCCTCCACACACACATCCCACGCCTCCCCAGGCTGGGCCACATCATGGAGGAGTGGCCCTAACCCTTTGAGCAGTTAGCACCAGAGCTAAGAGAAGCCAGCAGTGGTCATGCTGATCGCAAGCCTCTAACTGGGTGGTGCTTCTTTGTAGAAAACAGCAATCCTGACCACCATTGGCGTGCTGGAGGAGCCCCTGGGGAACGCCCGTCTGCACAGTGCCCGCCTCACGGCCGCACTGCTACACACAAACACACCCAGCATCAACCAGGAGCTCTGCCGGCTCAACACCATGGGTTTACTGCTGGTGAGTGGGCAGGGCCGCCAGCCCCACGTGGCTGTCTGTGTGGCTGTCTGGTCTGCAGCGGGTGGGCAGACCGGGCAGCGTCTATCAGAGGCAGGCACTGGACCTCAGCATACAGACAAGGGTGTGCCCAAGGGGAGGCTTTGGTTCTGTCCCGGAACAGGTATAGTCTGTGCAGAGAGACTACTTCCCGGACCCGTGCCAGGGCTGACGGCACTGTCGCTGGTGAAGCATGCTGAGTAATGGTGGGACAGGCCTTGCTGTAGGCTCGTGGAGAATTGCTCTGAAGGCATAGGGCAGATTTCTAATCCAGTTTGAGGGAATGGGGAAATAACGGTCCATCTCCTTGCTGACTTCTGCCGAAGATAGAACTTTTATTATAGCTCTTCAACATAAAACGTCCTCAAATAGCAGTGGGGTCACTGCTGGTCACCCTAGCAGTTCTTGCCCACTCCTGGTCACCCACTGTCGAAGGTCACCCTAGCAGTTTTTGCCCAAGCCAGTGGGAAATGGTCCTCTCATCCGCAGATGCCTCTCAGTTGCCCCCAGGACAGCCTTGGCGCCTGAGGGAGAGGGGCAGGCAGGCAGGCCCGGCTGTGGGCAGCTGCTGTGGACAGAGGGTGCTGACAGGGTGGGGCATCACCCTAGGTGTCAGCCATGAGTAGATGCAGTCTCCAGTCTTGTCTTCTGCCTTTCTGTAGGGCCTCTGCTCCCAGAGAGCTGAAGTCTTCTAACATTTGAATCCTTATCCCAGGAGGAGCCAGCCTTGGAACCAGGCCTGAAGTACTATCAGTTTCTTCCAGTGTTTGGACCATGAGCCCAGATACGGATCAGGGGGTTCAGTTAGAAAAGGCCTCCTTTCCTTTTCCCTCTCTCTCACCCCTCTTTCTGCTTTTATTTTATTGTGGGAAAATACATATAACCTAGAATTTACCATTTTTGTAATTTTTAAGTGTACAATTCAGTGGCATTAAGTACATTCACGATGTTATATAACCATCACCACTGTCTATTTCTGGAACTTTCTCATCTTCTCAAACAGAAACTCTGACCAGGAAGCAGTCTATCCCCACAGCCCCCTTCCCGGCCCCGCCGTCTGCTCTCTGTCCCCCTGGGTCTGACCGCTGCAGGTGCCTCCTACAAGTGGAACCAGACAGGATTTGTCCTTCTGGGTCTGGTGTATTTCACTCAGCACAGTGTCCTCAGGGCTCCCCCGGGTCGTGGCAGGTGTCAGCAGGCTGAGTACTACTCCACGATGCCGATGGGCCACATTTAGTCTGTCCCTTCATCCGGCGGGGGACACCGGTGTTGCTTCCACATTTTATCTGTTGTGAGTAATGTTGCTCTAAGTACAGGTAGAGACAGTATCTCTCTGAGACCTGCTTTCATTTCTTTCGGGTATATACCCAGAAGTGGGACTGCTGGATCAGAACGTATTTCTGTGATTAATTTTTTGAGGAGCCTCCACACTGTTTTCCACGGTGACTGTACCAACTTACGTTCCCATCAGCAGTGCATAGGGGGTCCAGTTTCTCCACATCCTCATCAACACCTGTTTTCTGTTTATTGGGGTTTTTTGTTTGTTTTTTAATAATAGGCATCCTAGTGTTGTAAGTGGTATTTCACGGTGGGGGGTGTTCTGCTTTGCATTTCCCTAATGATTATCTTTGGAGAACTGTTTGTTCAAGTCCTTTGTCTATTTTTTAATTGGGTTTTTTTTTTATGGTTGAATTGTAGGAGCTCTTTATATATTCTATATATTAAAACTTACCAGATATATGATTTGAAAATATATTCTTCCATTCTGTAGATTATTTTCACTCTCATGATAGTATCTGACACAAAAGTTGTAAATCTTGATAAAGTCCAACTTATCTATTCTTTTCTTTTATTGATTGTGTTTTGGGTGTCATATGCAAGAAATCATTGCCAGGTCTACTGTCGTGAAGCTCTCCCCCTGTGTTTTCTTCTAAGAGTTTTATAGTTCTAGCTTTACTAGGCCTTTGATCTATTTTAAGTTAATTTGTATATGTATTGTAAGATAAGGGTCCCACTTCCCTCTTTTGCATGCAGATATCCAGTTTTTCCAGCACTATTTGTTGGAGAGACTGTCTTTTCCCACTTTGAATGGTTGTGACACTCTCACTGAAAATCAGTTGACCATATGGAGCCTGGCTGGCTCAGTGGGTAGAGCATGTGACTTCTGATCTCAGGCTTGTGAATTTGACCACCAGGCTGGGCTTAGAGATTACTTAAACAAAAGAAAGAAAGACAGGGAGGGAGGAAAGGGGTTGGGGAGAGGGAAAGGAAGGAAAAAGAGAAAGAAAGAGAATCAGTTGGCCGTATATGTGAGGATGTAGTTCTAGACTCTCGTTTTTTTGGTCTATATGTCTATCCTCATGCCACTGCCACACTATTTTGATTACTGTAGTTATGTAGTAAGTTTTAAAATTGGGAAGTGTGAGTTCTCCAACTCTGTTCTTTTTCAAGATTGTTTTGGCTGTTTGGGATCCCTTTAGATTCCATATAAATTTTAAGATGGGGGGGCGCCTGGGTGGCTCAGTCAGTTAAGCGACTGCCTTTGGCTCAGGTCATGGTCTCAGAGTCCCGCATCGGGCTCCCTGTTCAGTGGGGTCTGCTTCTCCCTCTGACCGTCCCCTCTCTCGTGCTCTCTCTCTCTCAAATAAATAAAATCTTAAAAAAAGTATAAATTTTAGGTTGGGTTTTCTATTTCTACCAAAAAAAAAGTGCCATTGGGATCTTGATAGATAATTAGTCTGTAGATCACTTCAGGTAGTATTGTCATCTTAACAAAATTAAGTCTTCCAGTCCATGAACATGGAGTCTTTCCATTTATTTATGTCTTCTTTACTCTCTTTCAGCACTGTTTGTAGTTTCTTATGTACAGGTCTTTCATTTTCTAGGTTTAATTTATTCCTAAGTATTTTATTCTTTTTTTTTTTTTAAGATTTTATTTATTCATTAGAGAGAGAGAGAGAATGAGAGATAGAAAGCACGAGAGGGAAGAGGGTCAGAGGGTGAAGCAGACTCCCTGCTGAGCAGGGAGCCCGATGTGGGACTCGATCCCAGGACTCCAGGATCACGACCCGAGCCGAAGGCAGTCGCTTAACCAACTGAGCCACCCAGGCGCCCTATTCTTTTTTTTTTTTTAAGATTTTATTTATTTGACAGACACAGTGAGAGCAGGAACACAAGCAGGGGGAGAGGGAGAGGAAGAAGCAGGCTCCCCACTGAGCAGGGAGCCCGACGTGGGGCTCGATTCCAGGACCCTGGGATCATGACCTGAGCCGAAGGCAGACGCTTAATGACTGAGCCACGCAGGCGCCCCCTAAGTATTTTATTCTTTTGAATGTTGTTATAAATAGAATTGTTCTCTTAATTTTTTTAATCTAAGTTGTTAGTGTGTGAAAGTGTACTATTTGTGTGTTGATTTTGTGTCCTGTGACTTTGCTGAACTTGTTTTAGCTCAACAGTTTCTGTGGAATCTGAAATTTTCTGCATATAAGATTGCATCATCTGTGAAAAGAGGTAATTTTACTTCTTTCTTTCCAGTTTCATGCCTCTTATTTCTGTTCCTTGCCCAGTTGCTCTGTTTAGAACTTCCAGTGCAACATTGAAAGCGGGCGTCCTTGCCTTGTTCTTCAGAGAGAAAGCTTTCAGTCCTTCACCCCTGAGTGTGGTGTTTGCTGTGGGCCAGCCACACATGACCTTTATCACGTTGGGAGGTTTCCTTTTGTTAGTTTATTAAGTGTTTTTATCAAGAAAATATGTCAAATATTGTAAAATGTGCTTTCAATATCAGTTGAGACGATTGTGTGTTTGTTTTTTCCCCTTTATTTGGTTAATATGGTGCATTACATTGGTTTTCAGATGTCAGACCATCCCTGCATTCCAGGAATAAATCCCACCTGCTCGTGGAGTGCAGTCCCTTAACATGCTGCTGAGTCTGGTTTGTTAGTATTTTGTTGAGGATTTTTGCCTTGATGTTCATAAGGGATATTGGTGTGTGGTTTTCTTGGCGTGTCTTCATCTGGCTTTGATAACGAGGTAATACTGTCCTCATAGAATGAATTAGAAAGTAGTCCTTCTTTTTGGGGGAAGAGTTTGAGGATTGTTGTTGTTGATTCTTCTTTAACTGTTTGGTAGAATTCACCAGTGAAGCTGTCTGGCCTGGGCTTTTCTTTATTGGGAGGTAGGTCTGACTCTGTGTTGAAGAATAGGTAACATCGTGGGTGCCTGGGTGGCTCAGTTGGTTAAGCGACTGCCTTCGGCTCAGGTCATGATCCTGGAGTCCCGGGATTGAGTCCCGCATCGGGCTCCCTGCTCAGCAGGGAGTCTGCTTCTCCCTCTGACCCTCTTCCCTCTCGTGCTCTCTATCTCTCATTCTCTCTCTCTGAAATAAATAAATCTTAAAAAAAAAAAAAAATAGGTAACATCGTGAAGCCACCTCCAGGGTCACTCAGAGTCACACAGGCAGAGAAAGTGAAGCTGAGATTTGGGACCATGTTTCTGTGGAGTACTGTGTTAGGCAGATGGGCTTCCTGCCTTTAGCCATCTCCCAAATCCTTGGTGTGGAGGAAGGGCCCATACTCCTGTCTCGGGGTGGAGTCTACACCCTGTCCTCCTGCCCCATCCCCTGCCCCCACACACCCCTCCTCCTCCCTCATGGACAGCAGGGGGCCTGAGACACAGGCTGCCATAGCCACTGTGGCCAGAGGGATTTGGACAGGCATTCTGTGTCACTCCTCCTTGGTGCTGCCTCCCTACTGGCATGGGGGACCAGAGAGTCCGAAGCAGGCTGCCGTGCCCAGCCCTGGTCCAGGGGGAGCCATGCGGCCACCCTCACTCAGCCTCCTCTGGGCTTCGGCCTGTGCAGCTGAGGTTTGGGCCCTGCTGAGTTCCTTCAGGGTGTGTGCACGTGTGCCCCTGTGCACCTGTTGATTGCATGTCCCCTCCTGAATAGAATCCCTGGGTGTCTGAGAATTTAATGTACTTCTAGTAACTCATGAGTCAAAGACAAATCATAAAGGAAGGATCGTAAAAATACCATATAGCAAAAGGTATGAGGATACCTGGGAAAGAAAAAAGGCTAAAAGTGAGTGAGTTAAGCTTCTAACTTAAGGACAAAAGGGTAAGCCCACCCGAGGGCGTGGTCAGATGAGGGCAGAGACTGCCGGGAGCGAAACAAAGCAGCAGGCTGGGGATGGAAGGGCAGTGGTCGTGGAGAGGCTGTGTCAAGGAAGAACCTTCAGCGTCCCCTGACCACCTAGATGGCCAGGGGACAGTGGTCCCCTCACTTGTGTGGTCCCGCCGCCAGGAGAAAACCAGTCCACAGACTTTCCTCTGTCCTCTGTTTACCCCAGGACCTGTTTTTTAAGTACACTTGGAATAACTTCTTGCACTTCCAAGTGGAGCTATGCATAGCCGCCATCCTGTCCCACGCTGCCCGGGAGGACAGGGCAGAAGCCAGCGGACCGGAGAGTGGGGTGGAGCTTCTGCCCGGGAACGGGGGCCCAGACACCCCCCAGCCTGCCGCCAGCCGCCCGGAGAACACAATGGTGACCCATGTAAGTCCGGCCAGTGACCTGTGTTTTGCTGTGTGCCCTGCGCATCACTGCTTGCTGAGCCCCGCCTCAGTGTGAGGGTATCAGCACTAATACTGGCCGCCCGTGGCCACCACTAATCCTCCCAGAACGTGGATGCACTGCCCTCCCTCCACCCATCAGACTGCGAGTCACAAAGAAAGTGTCCACATTTGCCAGGGCCACTGTGCTGGGGGAGCCGAGGCACTGGAGGGGGAGGGTCTGCTCCTTCCAGGCCAGTCCACTGTGCCCTGTCGTAGCCATGAAGGCAGATGCAAGGGAAAGACAGAGAATGTGTCGAATCCTCATGAAAATGTCCCAGGATTATGGACCTTTTGAAACTACATTCTCTCCTCTTTTCCTCGGCTCTTCCGTGCTCGCCCATGAGGGCATGATGGACGCTCACCTCCGGGACTGCCCACAGCTTTTCTGGGGCCTCAAGCGGGCACACCCTGGTGTCTGTGTCTCCCCTGCCCTAAATAGCTATAGTGTTGTGTCTGGCAGAGAGTCGGCTTCAGCAGGTGTTTGCTAAGGAGGAAAGGAAGCAAGCAAGTGCCCGGCTGGGTGCTGTTGACAAGTAGCACCGACGCCCCTCCCCGTGTCAAGGAGCCCACTTAGAGATGCTTCCCTGACAAGGCCCGGGGCTGTGCAGGGACAGCTCTGACCCTCAGGCTGGCTGTGAGGCCCACACGGAGGGGCAGAGGCTTGGGAAGGCCTTGGTCTTTGGTGAGAGTCCCCACAGAAGGTGTGGCTTGAGCGAGTCCTGCAACATGCAGGCCTGAGCTGGACAGCAGCCCAGGGGGTAGACAGCTGGGGGCAGGCGACTTCAGTGGTGAGGGCCACAGGGGGTGGGGGTGTGCGGGGGCCCCGTGTGGGGTGGGGTGTGAGTTGAGTCCCAGAACAAATGTGCAGGCACAGGAAAGAGCCCTCAGGCTCACTCCTTTTGCTTCTGGACACAGAGAAGGTGGGAGGAAGCCAAGGGGAAGGAGCGGAACTGGGCAGCCCTAGGGGGCCTGGGGGCTGCAGAGAGGCCGTAATGGTGTCCCCGCCCACAAGGAGCTTTGTGCTGATGTGCCTGCTTCACCATCTAGGGGTGGGTGGAGGGGAGTGTGCAGCCCTGTAGACCCTGACCAGTGTCACCTGGCCCTCTAGCTGTTCCAGAAGTGCTGCCTGGTCCAGAGGATCCTGGAGGCCTGGGAAGCCAATGATCACGCACAGTAAGAACCCCTGGGGGGCTGCAGGTGGTGCCTGAGGGCCCAGCGCAGGGTTCTGGGGCCGCCACGGGGTGTCCAGTTCAGGAAGGGGGTCCTGTTTCTGGATGAACACCTAGAAGTGCTGTCCAGGGAAGGTCAGGGCCCAGGGGGACCAGAGGAGACCGGCCGAGCAGCTCTATACTCCACCCCTGCCCTCCCCATCTGTCAGCCAAGACCCCATCTTACACCCACAGTGTGTCCTCAATTCTCCCATCTCCCCACCCCAGCCACCAGCCAGTTCTCACTAAGCCCTGAAACCTCCCAAGCGCATCCAAGCTACTTCCTGCTGGCTCTCCTGCCCCACCCCGCTGGGATCTTTTTGAAACACACAGATGGTCTCACCCCTGCCTAAAAGTCTCGACCACCCAGGTCCCCCAGAGGTGTGGCCTGTGGGGCCCAGTGTGGGCAGCCCCAGCCCCACCCTCACCCTGCCTTCCCTCGGCCCTGCTGACTTCTGCTCCCAAGGGCTCTCTGACCTCACCTGGTTCGTGGCCCACATCCTGCTGGTACAGAACCCACCAGTTTGCATCCTCTGTAGAATACGTACAAGATGCGGCCATCTGTCCTTCCTTGGGCCTGGTCCTTGCAGTACCCACTGAAGCCCTGGGCGGAGCCTGCTCTTGTACATTCTGTATTTGTGCGCATGGGCACCTGTTGGGGGGGTACATCATCACTGTCACTGAGGGTCCACGACGCCCCAGAGGTTAAGACGGCAGGCTGAGAGGCCTTGTCCCTGGCCCAGTCCTACTGCACCCTGGGCAGCTCCTCACAGGCCTCCTTGTCTCGCCAGGCACTCTCCTGACCCCTTCCTCTACCAGGCTGGGCTCATGGGCTCAGGAGCTCACCTTTGCTTCCTCTCTGGGGCGCTGTCAGGCTTTTAAGACAGAGAACATGGTCGAAAGCAACTCTGTCCACTCTGTGACTCAAGTACTGCATTTCTAGATGTGTGAACATTTTACATCTTCCTAACACAGGAGGGATTTTAAGAGGTGCCCTTCTGTTGGGTCATGTGTGTGACAGACGAGAGGTTGAACACAAAGCTGCATGTGCATGGCAGCGTGGGATGGAACGGTGGACAGAAGCCAGGCCGTGGGCCTCAGGGTGCAGAGAGCTCGGTGAGGGGGAGGCAGTATGGACACCGGGCAGAGAGCCGGGCAGAGACAGGCTAGCTCTGAGCCGCCGGCCACCTGCAGTAGCCCCTGCCCTGGCCTGCCTGCTTCTGGGTCCCATGTGTCCATTCTTGATCATCCCCGGGTCAGTACGCACAGCAGAGATGCACTGTGTTTGGTCTTTCTGAGTCTTCTGCCCCACTGGGTGTTGCTTTGGGTCAGCCAGCTCTGCGCAGAGCTGGGAGGGCGTCGGGGGCTAGGACAGGTCAGAGGTGTCAGAGTGGGTTGAGGGACACAGCATTGGACCAGGCCTGCAGGGCGGGCAGAGGCCCATCAGGCCCTGCTGGTATGGAGTTCTGGTCTGGACGGTGGGGGAGGAGCAGTGCAAGTGGAGTGATTGGCTGGCACACAGCAGGTGCTCTCCAAAAATAAGTGTCCTGCAGGTGAGGCTGTGAGGAAGGATTTACGGGGGGCGGGGGGGGGCGGGGAGCGGGCACAGGGAATGCCATGCCGGGCAAGGTCAGGCCCTGGTAGACACACAGTGAGGCAACCCCAGTGGCCCCCTGGTCCTGCTGCTCATTCCAGGGCAGCGGGCGGCATGAGGCGCGGCAACATGGGCCACCTTACCCGGATCGCCAATGCGGTGGCGCAGAACCTGGAGAAGGGCCCCATGCAGACCCACATCAGCGATGTCATCCGAGGTGAGCCCTTCCTGCCCTCGCTGCCTCTGACCCCTGACCCTCAGCAAGTGGTAACTGCACTGGAATCAGATTGCTTTCCCACGTGGAACCTTCTCTCAGGTGGGCCTGGGTCCCAGGTGTCCGTTCTGTTGAACAGACATCCGTGGGGGGTCTCCTTGTGCCCCGAGACCCTGTCCGGTGCCAGCATTCAGAAGCACAAGTGGCCCAAGGTTCTCCTGTGCTCTGCTCAGGGACCCCCCAAGTCCTGTCTGAATGCCGCCCTCCTCCTCTGACTCAGCCAGTTTTGCAGATCTTTCCAGCACAAGTCTGGGGAGCGGGGGGGAGGTAGCCCCTGTGCTTGAAGAGCAGGCTGTGGGGCCTGAGCAGAGGCAGCCCCTCCTCTGGTTGGGCCTCACCTCTGTCCTCAGCCTGAGACACCGCCCACCCTCCGGCCCTGGGGCCCCAACACTCACACCCCTTTCTGGCCCTCTCATGTCCTGGCGTGGTCTGCAACTCCTGGGCACCGGGCTTCCTCAGCTGAGCTGGGGAAGGCCCAAGGGGGTCTTGGTTCAGACAGGAAGGCGGGCAGCTCAGAAGGGTCTGTGTGACCCTGCTAAGGCGGATGATGCCTGGGCCAGCCTGAGCAGGGTGTTGAGAGGCCCCTGAGCTTGGGTGGACAGATGGACAGATAGGTGGGGTGCATGAGTGAGTCAAGGAGGCTGAGGGTGGACAGCAGCCACGACTCCCCAAGGTGCTGGGGTTGGTGTTCATACCAGCTTCATGACCAGGACAGTCTTCCTCAGCCCCGTGTGGGATGCTTGTGCTCAGTGAATGGTGTTTGCACAAAGGAGTAAGCTCCGTCTGGGGTTCCCCACAGAGGGTGTGGGAAGATGGTCATGCTGTGGCAAGGCCTCAGGTGCATGATCCTGGAGCAGGCACAAGGAGGTGCTGAGGCTCCTCCCCCATCATGCAGCTGAGGAAGCTGGGCCACACAGGCTGTGTGGCCACCCCCTCACAGGGTCTCAGCTGTGGTCCCTGTGGCCCACGGCCAGAGGTGAGCTGAGGAAGCTCTGGGTGGCCCTCCAGGATGGAAGCAAGGGGGTGTGCTTGGTCCCCGGGTCGTTTGGTGCCCGTGACAAGGGGTGTGCAGGCCTGGGGAGGCTCCCCACAAAGGGTACAGTTCGGGGTGCAAGAGGTAAGCCAGAAGCTCTCTGCTGTGGTCTTCCGTCACCAGCTGCAGACGGACTCTTTTCTGGGGCTGTGACTTTTCCAGAAGACAGGCACGCCCAGGCACGTGGGTGGGACTGAGAGGGCTGGTGGCGGGGGGCGCTGGGTGCAGAGAAGGAAGCTGGGCTGTATTTCCTCAGTGGTCCTCCTCCCTGGTTGCTTTGCAGCTACCTGTGCGCCAAGTAAGCTCAGGGCACCTGCTCAGTTTGGGTCCTGTCCCTGTGAGTGCCCTCAAGTTCCTGTGGGACCCTTGGCTGCCTTGGCCTCCTTCCCTTCCAGCAGCCCTCAGATGTCCCCTCCGGGCTCCCCCCACCTGTGCGCAGTGGCGCTGACCCCTGGTTCACCAGCAGTGCTCCCTTGCAGGGCTCCCTGCGGACTGCCGAGGGCGCTGGGAGAACTTTGTGGAGGAGACCCTGGCGGAGACCAACCGCAGGAACGCTGTGGACCTGGTGAGGGACTCGTGGGGCTTGGCTGTTCCCGCTGCACGGCGTCAGCTGGTGCTGTGGCCATGCCTTCCTGTCTGCCTGTGTGCGCGCACGTGCAGGCGTGTGTGCGTGCGCGTGGGGGGGCGTGCGTGGGGGGGGGCGCGCGTGTGTGCGTGTGCGCACCCACGTGGCCCCGCCTGTGTGCAGTGGAGTCTCCAGCTCTGTGTCCTCAACGCAGACCTGTCCGGCTTCAGGCCCCGCTGGCCCCCTGAAGCGTCAGCAGAGCCCCCTCCCTGTCACACCAGGACCCCTAGTGTGTGCTCAGGGGCTTCTGATGCCCGAGGCCCAGTGTGCCCTACACTGAAGGGAGGGGCCAGGGGGCAGGAGCCCGGGGGGGTGCGGGGCTCACGGCTCACGTCCACCCGCTCTGGCTGTTTCAGGTAAGCACCCACCACCTTCACCCCTCGAGTGAGGATGAGGACATGGAGGGCGTTTTCCCTAATGAGCTGTCCCTGCAGCAGGTGCGTGTGGTCACTCTGCACACCTCAGGCAGCCCTGACCCGCTCTCGGCAGCACTTAGGCCTCCAGGGCGTCCTGGACAGCACCCTGCTGAGCTGCCACGGGAAACAGCCCAGGGGAATGTGCTAGTCCCCACGCACCAGGCTCGAGCAGGGGAGGGGCCAGAGGCGCAGCCCCTGCAACAAGGGGGGGACCCCCTGAGCCACCTTCCATCAGTAAACCCTGGGGGACCTGGTAGATGATCTTGAAACTTAAAGGAAACGAAGCTCTTTGGACACAGCCCTGCGTTGGTGTTTTCCTGAGAGGTTAGGTTGGGAGAAGCCGAGAAGCACCAGTGGGTTTTTCTGGGAGCAGCCTCGGGCTGAGGCCTGCCCTGCGTCACCCTCCCTGCCAGGCTTTCTCTGAGTACCAGGTCCAGCAGATGACGGCCACCTTCGTGGATCAGTTTGGCTTCAACGACGAGGAGTTTGCTGACCAGGATGACAGTGTCAAGTGAGCTCCCAGGACGTGCTCGGGGCTGTCCACCCTGGCTGGGATCCCATCCCTGGGGAGCCTCCCTTGCACACCTCGGCCCCCATTTGAGCCTTCTTCTTCTCCCACGACCTTGTCCCCTGTCCCTTTTGGAAGGAGCTGGGTTCTACTCAGTGTGACCAGGTTCCAGTCCTGTGGCCTCGTCCCGCCCGGCCCTGCAGGCTGTCCTGCCACTTTCTTAGCTGTGGGGCCGGGCAGAGACACCCTCAGCGATGGTAGGTTGTCACCTGCAGACCAGGGACAGAGTGGACCCAGGTGGAAAAAAGCAAGTGTGTTTGAGGAGGGAGGTGGGCTTGGAGAGCCGCCCCTTTCGACTGAGGTCCCCATCTGTTTACACCCACGTGGCCGGTCGCTGCCTGCAGAACTGTCCACACCCTTGGACTTGGCTGTGTTCCCCCTGGGAGGTGCAGCTGCATCTGGCAACCCCCAAGGGCACGAGCGGAAGTCCCCGGTGCATCGGGCGGCCCTGGTGGCAGGCAAGGTGCCGAGTGTCTCCCTTTTTGCAGTGCTCCCTTTGACAGGATCGCGGAGATCAACTTCAGCATTGATGCTGACGAGGACAGTGTGAGTCCTCTGCTCCGTGCTCATTGGGTGTGGGTGGGGACACAGTGGCGGGTGGGCAGCAGGGGGAGACAGGACCCCACCCTGTGAGCCCCTTGCCTGGCTGAGCCCCTCTGGGAGCCATGTGTAGCTACGTGGAGCTCTTGCCTGCAGCCCAGCGCAGCTCTGTTTGAGGCCTGCTGCAGTGACCACATCCAGCCCTTTGACGATGACGAGGAGGATGACATCTGGGAGGACAAGGAGATGCACTGCACTGCCCGGGTGACGGCCAGAGCCAGGTGCGAGGCCCACCTGTGTCCCCAAGCCTCCTGAGGCAGAGAGGCCCCAGAACGCTGTGTGCGTGCTCCCAGCCCTGCCCCAGCCACGGTGCTCTGGGTGCATGGGACAGGATGCTCCCAGGGTCCCCGTGTGGTGCTGGCTGGGGGCTGCTCTGACTGTGTGTCTTTCCCCAGGTTTGGGGGTCCTCACACCTCAGATAGCTGTTCCAAGAATGGCCTGGAGCGTGGAGGCCGGGACAGGAAGGAGGGTTTGGAGGCAGACAAGGATGCCGCTCGGGCAGGTGCCCCTCTGGCTTCTACGCAGAAGGAAGGTCCTCGCTTGGAGGGTGGCTCAGAAGGTAAATGCTGGGGACACAGGGTTCAGGCTGGGCAGGGCACTTGGACAGGGACCCAGGCCCCGGCCGGCCTGTGCATGGTAGGGGCTGCCGTGCGCTTGGTAGCTGCTCACTTGATCTGCACGAGCTTTTGAGCAATGTTCCTGAAGGTGGCACCTGTCCCGTGCCCCCAGCCGCGGTGGTGCAGGATTGGTGGCAGACCCCGGCTGCCCCCTGCCCCCAGTTGAGGTTACCTAGCCACATTGTCACAGCTGGTGGCTGTGACACCACTGGTCCATTTCTTGTGGGGCCTCCGCAGCTCTGGGCTTCAGGGCCCTGAAGGCGGGTGGGGCCGACCTGTGGGTCCAGGGTGCCTGGACTGCTGTGTCTCCCACCAGCAGGCACCTCGTGGACGGTGTTTGACGAGCCGGTGAACTCACCGGCACCGGGCCCGGGAGTGGCGGTGGACGTGGGTTCCAACGTGTGGGCAGCCAGCACCCCCAGCCCCTCGGCTTTGGAGGAAAAAGGCTGGGCCAAGTTCACCGACTTCCAGCCTTTCTGCTGGTGAGGTGGGGCGGGCCGGGAGGTCACCCCATCTGCCCTTGGGGGTGGCATCTCCCCAGAGGGGCTCAGCCTTGCCTTCCGCAGCTCCGAGTCGGGGCCTAGGTGCAGCTCCCCAGTGGACATGGGCCACGGCGATGCCCGGGATGGCCCGAAGCAGGGCCCCGAGAGAGCCCGTGAGTAGGAGGGGCTCTGAGCACAGGGAGTGGGAGGGTATGGCCAAGGCCCCACGGGTTGTGTCTCCCTGGCAATGCTGGGCTTTGCAGCCGGCAGTCCTTCGGGTGCAGGTATGACCGGCCTGCCCTGTCCACGCTGCTGGGAGCCTTGCTTTGTCCGTGCAGATCACCCCCGTGCACTGCACCACCTCACTGGCCATCCTGGGGCCTGTTCAGGGTCCTTGACCCTGAGCCCCTCATCAGACAGGCTTGGAAGCCCCACAGGGCTGAGTGGGGGCCCTCCTTGCCTGGGGGAGGACTGTCTCTTCATACAGTCTCCGTAAATACACACATGCACACGTGGGTTTGAGGACCCTGAGGCCGTGCCCTGCGGCCCCTCCGTCCTCCCTGGACGTCAGCAACTCTGTCTTGTAGGCCCGGCTTCCCCATGTGCCTGGAGCGCCTGTGTCACCAGGAAGGCCCCCTTGGTGGTTTCCGACCACGGTGAGGGCGAGCAGAAGATGGCTGGTGCCTTGGAAGCTGTCAGTCTGGGTCCCAGCCGGGAGGCTCCCCTGCTGCCCGCGTCAGTCCCCAGGTGTGCAGGAGGGGGTGGGCACAGGGTCCCCAGGGGCACACGGATTTCTGGCTGTCCCCAGCACCCTGTTCACCCAGGAGCAGGCTGACCCTGCTGCCCTGACGACCCCATGACTGAGGATGCTGGCCCTAGGGGGGTTGGGACGCCCATGCATCTAAGTGGGAGCCAGGGGTCAGGGGCATTTTCATTGAGATACAAGCACAGGGACTGAGTGTCCCACCCTGGAGGCTAGGAGATGGGGCTGCCTCACCCCTAGGTCTTACTGAGGACAGTGGCCAGGGTTTTGGGTTTCTGGCCGGCTGAGCTGCCACCCCAGGATCTGGGGTTGGGTTGCTCCACATGGTGGGGAGAGGGCACAGTGGCCTTTATGCCCCACTCAACCTGCACCTCAGAAATGCCCATCATGCTCAGACAGCAGGATGGGGGTGTCTGAAGACCTCGCTGGGTCACGTGAACCCTGACTGCAGGCATCCTCCCCACAAGCTTCTCCCCACGCATCCCTCCCTCAGGCACCGGAAGAAGGTCCAGGCCTTTGGGATCTATCATTGGACAGACAGACCCCTGGCTGGGCCTGGTGGGCTGGGGGGCGGGGCGGGGGGGGGTAGCATAAGGAGCCGTGAGTTGTGAAAGCAGGCAACTGGGGGCCAGCGGGCACTTGAGAGAGGTGGTGGTGGAGCCGAAGCTTATGGGGGCAAGGGGGAAGGTCCCCCAGCAGAATCCCAGCAGGAGGGGACAAAGACCAGATACGTGACTGCGTGAGCACTATGGTCTCTCCTTCCCCCACAGCCCGCTGCCCCAGCCCTGGGGTCCCGAATGGTTTTAGGGCTTGGTCCGTCCCGTTGGTGGGGGTCTGCTCTGGCTCACAGCACACTTGTTCTCGGGACCCCAGACAACATGGCCTGTCCTCGTTAGCCCCCTGCCCTTGGGGGGTACAGCCCGGAGCCAGCGGGGTCTCAGTGACTGTTTTACAAGTGTGGGTCAGGTGAGGGGGCAGGGCACCAGGGCCCATGCATGGTGGCTCTTGGGTTACAGGTGCACATCGGGTTCTTGAATGGGTTTAACTCTTTCTCAAAGTTCAGAATCACTGCCAGTCTTAAAACCTCTTCCTCCCCTCCTGACTCCCCCACCGACAAACCACCTCTGCTCTGAAAAGCAAGCATGGTCATTGAGAAAGCGTGTATTTCCAGGGCTATCTGTACCAGCATTCCCAGCCAGCCTGTGGGGAACCCCCAGCTGATGCCCGTCTGGGCCGATGAGTGGTCACCAGGCTTTAGGGTCTGTTTCTTAACGCTGTCCGTGGCTGCTCCACCCTGGCTGGCTCCCAGGGGTCTTGTGTGGTTGGAGGTGGTCTCACACGTACTAGAAGCAAGCACTGGGCAGATGTGGGCTGAACGGGGAGCCACGGGCTCACTCTCCTCCTGGGCTGCAGCGAGGAGGGCCAGTGTCCTGAGGTCACCTATTCTTGCCCTTTCTAGGCGTGGGAGGGGAGTGTTTCTGGGCACATGGCCTGCGGGCCCTCCCATAAGCCAGGGTGGGGCTGGGGGCTATCGCAGAGAGACCAGATGCCGGGGGGGGGGGGGGGGGGGGGGGGGGGGGGGGCCCGCCCCCGAGGGGGGGGGGGGCGGGGGGGGGGGGGGGGGGGGGGGGGGGGGCAAGCTTGGGATGCGCACCACCTGGAAGGTCTGAGGCCTCAGTGGACAGGCAGGTTGTCTGGTGTTTTTAGCACTCGGGGAGGCAGAGCTGCCTTGGCCAAGTGGGTCCCTGGGCTACCCTGGTGGTGGCCCAGGGTGCTGGAGCCTGCGTTTGCCATACAGGACGGACACGCTGTCAGACCCCACCTCCCCCACGCCTGCAGAAGCAACCTTTGCCCCGGCTGTGGCTGTCCCCCCCGAGGCTGCTGTGGCGGCCACCCCAGCACCGAGCAAGGCCAGCCCCGCCCCAGCCACCATGGCAGGGCCCCCAGGGCCCATGGCGGCCATCAGCCCTGCGGCCCCAGCCACATGCACAGTAGCCATCCTGGGCACCGTGACGAAAGACAGGTGAGCAGGTTAGGCTGGGGGGGCTGCATGGGACTCTCGGGCCCTGAGGGCTCCAACCCCCACCCGTCCTCCTGCAGGAAGATGGACTCACCACCCCCTGCAGGAGCCGCCTTGAACGGCCCCGTGTGATGCTGCTGCCGCCCAGCCACGGCGCGCCCTTATCGAGAAAACTACCTGGTGATGCAATTTGTCTTTTTTAATTTAATTTAATTTAATTTTAAAATAAATGCTGCATTGGTAGGGCTGCCAGTTGGAACCAGTCGGACAGCCCAGCTTGCGTCTCTCCTGCCTGACCCCAGCTCCGCGCACAGCAATAAGGCCTCAGACGTGCGCTCTGCCGGCGGGAGCCGGGGGCCACGACCCCAAGACACCGTGCGCACGGAGGGCCGCGATGGGCATGGATGCCACAGGCTCCGAGCCTCAGTTTTTACGGATTTTTTTTTTTTTTTTTTTTAAACAAACGCAGGAAAGAGCCACGTGTTTGCACTTTTGTGTCCAGCCACAGCGAAGGGTCTCCCTGGCTCTGGGGACAAATGTGGGTCTGGAGCTGGACTGGCCAGACAGGGTCTTAGCTGCCCAGTGTCCCTGGGAGCTGGCCTTGAGCCAGGCTGCAAAATTTGACTGCCTTAAAATAAGACCCTCACGGCCTGGTGGGGCAGTTGGGGCACCTGGCAGGGGCTGGCCATGGGTGTGCAGGACGGGGCGCAGGGGTGTGGAGACTGGCTTCAGCGGTGCCAGGTGGGGTGGGGTCTGCACCTGTTGGGGAGGGCAGGACCAGGCCACGTTGTCCTGGAGGGGTCTGTAGGATTACTTTCTGTTGAGTCCATTTTTAATGTTCTGATAATCTGACAGGGCATCCAAGACCCCAACTCCCAATAAAAGTTGTGTTATTCTTACTGACAAGCCTGTGTATTGTTAAGCTGCAGGCCCCCCAGCCTGACCGGCATGGCTGCAGCAGGGAGTCTCCAAACTGGAGCAAGTATTGAGCTGTTCTTTCTAAACAAGCCCCAGGGCCGTCCCGTCCTCACTGGCTGGGCAAGGGGGGCAGCCAGCAGGGCCTCCCGGGGCACTTAGAGCCAGGGGGTGGGTCTGCCCACTCAACAACAGCCTTGGTCCTGCACTGACCTCACCCTGTGGCCCCTGCTTTGGTGACTTCTGACCTCCCTCCCAGAGACAGCCTCATGGCTGCCCAGCCCGTGTGTGAAGTCAGGTGGGCATAGGACCCCAGGTGTGGATTTCCTGGGCCTTGGGAACCTCAGTCTGATAGCTGTCCGTGTGGTCCAAAGAGAACCTGGGGGCTCTCCTCACGACTCACCGGACATCACCTATGGGTCTTGCCTGTGTCTGCACCTGCTGCTCACCTCCCCCCGACAGGTGCCACCACCTGCTGGGCATCCCCCACACCCCACCTGGCTGGCTCAGGTACAGGTGCAGGTTGGGAAAGGAGAGGGGTAACCACAGTGGCACCTGTCACGCCCCAGACAGAGGCCAGGGCATGGAGAATCGTCAGGGCCTGAGGCAAGATCCCAGGGAAAGAGGAGGGGCAGGCATTTGGAGCAAACTTCCCAGGACCCCCCGCCCCTCAGAGCCCACCCTCGTCAGCATCTCCCTCCCATCTAGTCTCCTCTGACCTGGAACCATCCTCTGGACAGTCTGGCCCCATCTGCCCTCTTCAGAGCACACCTGCAGATGGCCACCTTCTGTCCAGGGGCTGCTTGGGGGTGCGGTGGAGGAGGGGTGCCAGCCCCAAGACCACCCCTGAGGGTGGCTGGGCACTAAGCAAGGGCCTGATGAAGCTGCCCCCCGCCCCCGCCCCAGAGCTTGCCCCCCCCCCCCCACAGCGGACGTGGGTCCCGGGGAGTGGCTGGCAGGGGATCTGGACGGGCCGAGGAGACACAGGCATGTGCGTGTTGTTAGTTCTCTCTTTATAGACTCTGGTTCGAGGAACAGGTTGCCTGTGGCCGGCCAGCTGGGACCACACGCTGACGGGGGCGGGGGCTCTATTTACAGGCCCACCGCGAGGGCTGTACCATGGCCGCCTCCCGGCCGGCGCTCACCCATAACTGCAGAATAAGTTACAGCTGGCCAGGTGGGCAGGGGTGGGCGGGGGTGGGAGCTCACAGGGGCTGTACACCTAAGTTTGGGGGGCGGGACCTCAATACTGTCGAGGGTGGGGGCTGTAAACATGGCCGGGGGGCCCTGCCCACCCCTAGTGGTCTCTAACGACGGGACGTGCAGCAGCCGGAGCAGAGCTGGGCTCAGGCGTCTGACAGGCAGCTCTGGATCTGGTCCACCCACTGCTGGGCTGAGGGCACGTCCTGGGCACAGAAGTTGTAAACGCGACGCGTCGTCTTCACCTGGGGACGGCCGGTCGCTGACTCCACGGTCCCACCCCACAGAGCCCCCTGCCCTGCTGTCCCCGGGCCCTGGCCACAGCTCACGTCAAAGAAGGCCTTCTCGTCCACGGTCTTGGGGGCACCCAACGTGGGAGTGCCGGGGGCCACGGCCTCCACTTCTGCCAGGTCGATGACACCCTTGCATTCCGTGTCCACACGGTGGTCATAGTAGCGCAGCTGAGGAGGGGTCCGGGGGGGGCGGGCAGGAAGTCAGGGCAGCACTCCCCCCAACCCCCAGTTCCTAACCCCACCCCCCAGCCCCCCGACCACTCACCTGGTGCTTGGTCTTGTCCAACACGAACCAGCGGGCCTTCCAGGGCTTCATGAAGGCCCCCTTCTTGTACAGGGTGCCCTCATATGACCTGCATGGACAACAGGACCAGGCCGGTCATCAGGGCCACCCCTAGCCCCCGAGCCAGCTGAGCCCCTGCCCTCCAACAGACCCAGGCTGGACTCGAAGGCTAGACTGGCTAGGGGGTCATGAAACAGCCCTGGGGCTGTTCTTAGCAAAGAAAGGAGAGTCCCCATCCCTCGCCCCTTGCCCCTCTCAGCACAGGACACGAGAGAGGGTCTAGCACCAGGGTCTCAGGGTCTCTGGGAAGCAGCCGCCCAAGCAGGGCAGGTGCCCTCGGACGAGGAACACGCAGCAGGCGGGTCCGGAGAGGTGACCATGGCAAGACGGCCCCTCTCCAGCCTGCCAGGCCCCAAGCTCCCCTGGTGCCTTGCCTGCCCTCATGGGTAGCCCACAGCCGCTGTCCCTCTACTCCTGGTTCTACGTCCCAAACCCCTTCCAGAAGAGCCCTCCTGCTCCCCACACTGTCAGCTTATGCCTGGGCCACCATTACGGCACCACGGCCTCCCTCCCAAATCCTTCCACCCAAGAAATGGCCGGAAGTCCCCTGAACCCCGGCCCCCAACCTGAGAACCGCCCCACACCCAGTCCCCCAGCTCAGAGGATTCCACGGCAAAGTGGGAGGCGTCCTCACACCTGTTCTCACTCTCGGCCGTCTGGAACTGGCTGTACAAGGTGCTGGTGCTGCGGCGGGCTGCCTGGCGGGAACTGGATGCCGTTGAGCCGCTGCTCTGGTCGCTGTCCAGGCTGAGGCTCAGAGTGGAGCCCACAGGCCCCTCCTGCAGGTACACACCTAGCGAGCGGCGGTGGTGGGGCACGCTGGATGCCAGCAGGGAGCTGGGGGTGCCCTGGGAGCAGGAGGGGGGCCTGTGTCAGGGCCGGTGGCCTCCACCCCTCTTGACCGCAAGCTCACCCTGGCCACCCACACCCACGCCCGCTCACACGTCCATCTGGCCGGCCCTCGAGGCGCTGTGCTGCCTTCACCCGATCCCAGGTGTCCTTCCAGCGCTCAGGGGGTCGCCCCAGCTCCGCCTCCAGCCGCTGTAGCTCCTGGGGGAGAATTGGAAAACTAAGATCATTCAGAAGAAAATACCCAGACCGAAACACGTGAAGACAGAATTACGGAAAACGGGAAGTTGAAGTGACGGAAAGGTCTGACCTGTATTACGGGAGCACGGAAGTGGGTGAGGGTAGGGGATGGGCAAAAACAATTACCTGGAGAAGACAAAAATTAGTTGTGCAAACTAACAAGGAGCACTGGGCAGAGGTGTGGAGCTCGGGGATGCTGACACGCATGGATCCACAGGGTGGCATACGAGAGCTCTAGAGATGCAGAGGCCTCCTTGAGTCCTTGGCCAAAGTAGCCTGCCATGGGCCAGGCAAGATGTCACCGGCCTGGCAGACAGCAGCTACTGTGCTTAGCTAAATCCAAATTCTGGAGGTTACCCAATGCAGGAAGATGCAGGAATTCCAAACAGAGTGGAGGTACCTCACTGAAGCCCTGGAGAGACCATGTCAGAGTTGGGCTCCTCTAACGCTAGGATAAAGGCTTCTCTAGAAGTGCCCTAGCAAAGCCGAAGAATGACCCTTGAAAAGACCAAGCTGACCCACACATTCTTTAACTAAGTGCAAGGATAAAATCAAAACTCCTTAAAGGAAGACAACACAATCCTGATCCTCAACAATGCAGAATCCACAATGTCGATTATTTAAAAAATTACTAGACAGAAAAGCAGGAAAATGGGAGCCATACTTAGGGGAGATGTTACAAGAAATAGATCCAAAAAAGAAACAGGTATCGGAATTGGCATACGAGAAATTCAGAACAGTTGTTATAAATATGTTTAAGATGTAAAGAAAAAGATAAACATAATGGTCAAACAGACAGGAAATGTCTACAGAGCATGGAAACTACATTTAAAAAATGCAAATGGAAATTCTAGGGCTGAAAAACAATATCTAAAATGAAAAATTCGGGGCGCCTGGGTGGCTCAGTTGGTTAAGCGACTGCCTTCGGCTCAGGTCATGATCCTGGGGTCCTGGGATCGAGTCCCGCATCGGGCTCCCTGCTCAGCGGGGAGTCTGCTTCTCCCTCTGACCCTCTCTCCTCTAATGCTGTCTCTCTTATTCTCTCCCTCTTAAATAAATAAAATCTTAAAAATAAAATGTTTTATAAAAAAAATTCATTAGATAAGCTTAAGAGAATATTAAACACAAGAAAGAAAAGAGCAGGGGCGCCTGGGTGGCTCAGTCATTAAGCGTCTGCCTTCGGCTCAGGTCATGATCCCAGGGTCCTGGGATCGAACCCCGCATCAGGCTCCCTGCTCAGAGGGAAGCCTGCTTCTCCCTCTCCCACTCCCCCTGCTTGTGTTCCTGCTTTCACTATCTCTCTCTCTGTCAAATAAATAAATAAAATCTTTAAAAAAAGAAAAGAGCAGTGAACTTGAAGGTAGGATCACAGAAATCATTCAAGATGAATTGCAGAGAAGAAAGAAATATGCCTCAGGGACCAATGGGACAATCAAGTCCCAGAGGAAAGGAGGGAGAGAGATTGTGCAGAAAAAACTTTTTAAAGAAATTATGGCCTCTGGGTTGCCTAGGTGGCTCAGTCGTTAGTTGTCTGCATTCGCCTCAGGTCATGATCCCAGGGTCCTGGGATCGAGCCCCGCATCGGGCTCCCTGCTCCGTGGGAAGTCTGCTTCTCCCTCTCCCACTCCCCCTGCTTGTGTTCCCTCTCTCGCTGTGTCTCTGTCAAATAAAGTCTTTAAAAAAAAAAGTTTAAAAAATTATGGCCTAAATTGCATTAAATTTGATGAAAACTATCATCCCATAAACCTAAGAAGCTGAGAAAGCTCTAAGCAGGAGGAACAACAACAACAAAAAAACCCATGTAAGGGGCACCTAGCTGGCTCAGTTGGAAGAGATTGCAACTCTTGATCTTGGGGGTCATGAGTTCAAGCTGGGAACTCAAGAGAGTTTCTATGCTGGGTGTAGAGATTACTTAAATAAACTTTAAAACCCCACATGATGGTCAAATTGCTGAAACCAAAGACGAAGACAGAATCTTAAAGGTAAGAGAAAGAAAGGGCGACATTACATGCAGTTTATAAAGATAAGGAAAAGCGCCAACTTTTAATCAGAAACAATGCAGGCATCTGGGTGGCTCGGTTGGTTGGGTGTCTGCCTTCGGCTCGGGTCATGATCCCAGGGTCCCAGGATCAAGCCCTGCATCAGGCTCCCAGCTCAGCGGGAAGCCTGCCTCTCCCTCTGACCTTCTCCCCTCTTATGCTCTAATACATAATTAAAATCTTTAAAAAAAGAGAGAGAAAAACAACGCAGGCCAGAAAACCATGCAATGACATCTTTAAACTGCTGAGTGTAAAAAGTGGTCAACCTAGAATTCCATATCCAAAGAAAACATCCTTTATTTTTTTTAAACACTCTGACACACAGAGAGAGAGAGCATGAGCAGGGGGAGCAGCAGAAGGAGAGGGAGAAACAGACTCCCCGCTGAGCAGGGAGCAAGACCCGGGGCTCAATCCCAGGACCCTGGGATCCTGACCTGAGCCAAAGGCAGACACTCTACTGACTGAGCCACCCAGGCGCCCAGGAAACGCCCTTTAAAAAATAAAGGCACTGGGGCACCTGCGCTCAACGTAGTCTGTTGAGCGTCTGACTCTTGGTTTTGGCTCAGGTCGTGACCTCAGGGTCGTGGGGTGGAGCTCCATGCCGGATTCTGTGCTCAGTGCGGAGTTTGCTTCAGATTCTCTCCCCCCTCTGCCCTTCCTTGCTTGCACTCTCTCTCTCTCTAATAAATAAATCTTTAAAAAAATTAAAAATGAAGGCACGGGAAACCTGCCTAGAGAAGTCAGTGGAGTGTGCGACTCTTGATTTTGGGGTTGTGCGTCGAACCCAGCGCTGGGTGTACAGATTAAATAAATAAAACTAAAATGAAAGGGCACAACAGGCCCAGCCAGAAGCCACTGTGTTTTCAGGGCCCTCTGGCGGGGGACTGGACACAAAGCCGCAGCAAACCAGTACCACGGTTGCCACAGGTCCGTCTGCAGTTTCGTGACCTCTCCCTTGGCCAGAAACGCACAAAGCTGTCTCCAAGATCAAAGCACCGAGCAAACAATGGCAAGGCAAAGCCCCCCGAAGTGGACGCCTGATTCCCTGGCGAGTACGGTCATGTGGGAACACCGTCCATGTTGCTGTGCGGCGTGGACAGCACGGAACCCGCCCCTGCGGGCAGAGTCATGCCACGGGAAGGGGGCGGCCGGTAACTGTCCCAGCTGGTGGAATCCTGAAGTGTTTCCAAACCAACTCCTCAGAGATGCCAAGTAAAAGCACTGCGCACCCGTGAAAACACAGCACGGTGGAAAAAATGAAGTATATCGGAAACCTTCAAAATAAGGGCACCACAAAGACGTTTTTGGGTGAACAAAGGCTGAGGGAATCCGTCACTGGCCGACCTGCATTACGAGAAGCACTGCAAGTTCTTCAGGCTGAAGAGAAATGGAGGAGTGAGGATCACTAGAAACAGCAAGTAGAGGAGGCTTCTTCCTCGTTTTCTAAAGTCTTCCAGACAAAGCTGACTGTTTAAAACACAGTACGAGCTGCGTGCTTCCGTCACGTGAGGTGAGCGGGCGGGCGCTGACACTGACCACCGTCCCTGACAACCGCTGAAACGAACACGAGGGTGTGCAGCTCAAAAGGTAAATGCAGCACAATGCTCAATTGTCAGGAGGAAAAAACAGAAAAGGAAAAAAGGAGCAAATACTAAATACGACAAATAGTCAACAAACAGCAAGAGGCTAGACTTCAGGGGCGCCCCGCTAGCTCCGGGTGGCGCCTGCGACTCATCTCGGGGTCAGGAGTTCAAGCGCCACGGTGGGTGTGCAGACTGCTTAAAAAAAAAAAAAAAAAAAAAGCTGGACTCCAGCCCAACCATGTCAATAACCAGGTGTAAAGGTACTAAAAATTCCAATGAAAGAAACCGTCAGATTGGGTCAAACCAACCACACGCCGAGTGCGAGAAACCCAGCTCAAACGAAGACGCAGACGAGACGGGATGAGGCCGACGATGACGCTGTGAGGACGCTGAGCCGCACAGTTCACGTCAGACTCCAAGACAGTGAGAATCACCAGAGACAAAGGGGGTCTCCTCTGCCCTCTCAGCTTGTGGGTCACCCGTGTCCCCCCTAACCCCTGGGTAACGGGTGCCTTTGGGCCAGGCCCAGTGCTGCGCTGTTGACATACATTAACTCTGTTTACACCTCCCCACCTCCCCGAAGGGCTGGCATCAGCACCCTCTTCCCCCAGAATGAAACAAACTCCCAAGTGTGTAGATATCCCCCAAAAGCCAGACGGCCAATGGCTGGGAGGGGAACGCAGACCCCCGGTGTTCCGGAGCCGAGGCCCATGCGGGGCTCTCAGGCGCTGCCCTGCCCCCCTCTAGGCCAGCTCTCTGCCCTGGCGGATCCTGACTCCTGGGGCTGAACACCCATGTCCCCCGAGAACAGCAGCTTCCAGGCCCACAGGCCCACCTCCCTCTGACGGAGGCATGGGGCAGGCCGGACCCAGGGCCACCATGGGCCCGGGCATGGCTGACAGCCAGTGGCACTCGGGAAGCAGGCACGGCAGTCTGGGAGAGGGCAGGAACAGTCCCTGGGAAAACCCTGTCTTCCCTGAGGGCCAACCGTACACATGCCCAGGACAAAGAAGCCACTTCCTGGGACCCAGGGGTCCAGGGCAGCAGCCTCTGGTCATCACTGCCTGCAAACACGACCCAATGCGGGGCGGGGCCAGCCACCCCAGGCTGGCAGGCACTTCACAGGGTGGGAAGAGGGGCAGGGCCCCTGGACTGAAGCGCACACACGCGTACGCCCACGGCGCCTCGGGGCTCACCTCCAGCAGGCATGAGATGGCATCCGGCTGGGCTCGGGGGCGGCTGTCGTAACAGGGCCACACCACCCGACGCCTGCTCTGGGGCGCACCCCCGTCAGGCCGCTCTTCCTCTGGGGGCTCGGGGGGCCCCTGGGCCAGCTCCCAGTCGTAGGGGGGCCCCTCGGCCAGCGTCTCCTCGGTGTAGAAGTCCCACACCTTCAGGTTGGACACATTGCTGTAGGGCCGCAGGACCTGGGGGTGGGTGTGGCGTGAGGCGCTGGGCAGGAAGGCGCCCGCCTGCCCCCAACCAGGCCCCAACTCACCTCTGTGTCCTCAGGTGCGTACATGTAGTTGTAGAACACGGGTGTCCTCTTGCTCAGCCGGTCCATGTACTCCCACACGGACCTGCACGCCTGCGCGCCCCTGCGCTCCCCCTTCTCCTCGTACAGTAGCCCTGCAGGGGTAGTGCTAAGCCCCGGCCACCCTCCAGGCCCAGCCCCGGCCACCCCGCCCTGCCCTGAGGCCCAGCCCTGCCCCATACCCAGCTCAATGCGCTCATAGTCCGAGTCGAGCAGAAAAGTCCGGAAGCGGCGGGATGCGTGGTGGTAGCCAAGGAACTTGAGGTAGAAGGGGCTGAACTCGAACTCCATGGGGAACTGCAGGTGGACCTGTGTGGGGTGACAGGTGAGGGGCCGGGAATCGGCAGGCACAGCCCCCGCCGTAGCCACCTGCTTACCTGGTGCACACAGTCCAGGAACTGCAGGAAGACGGGCGTGAAGCCACTGCCCTGCCCAGCCAGCGTGTGGGCCCCGCGGTGGCTGAAGCGATGGCCGAAGGAGAGCCACTCCTTTTCCACCAGCAGACGAAAGCCCTCCAGCGTGCGGTAGAAGGGGTCGGACAGCAGCTGCACCAGAGACACCACCTGCCAGCACCACCCGTCAGCACAGCGCCTGCAGGACCCGGCCCGGGCCGTCCCCGTGGCCCACCACGCACCTGGGTGGTGATGTCCCAGCCGTCCTCCAGGCTCACCAGGACGGAGGAGCCTGAGTCAAGGAGCTCCACCACCAGCACCGACACCTGGAGCAGCTTGTGGATCTGCAGGGATGGGCAGCCCCTCAGCACCTCCCAGAGCCAGTGCCCTTGGCCCCCAGCACCCATGCAGGCCCCTGAGGCCCACACCCCGTCCTTCAGATGTCCTGCCCCACCCCAACAGAGAGCAGGTGGCCCCAGCCTCCCTCCACCACACAGTACTACCATCCAGGTGGGAAGCGTCTACCACCCCCTCCCAGGGCCCAATGCCATCAGACAAGCAAACCAGGACCCCATCTGCCCTTGGCTCTAGGTAAGCAGGCACTCCCACGTCCCCCCGCCCCTGCCCGCCTTCTCTGGGCCACCCCCAACCGACTGCAGTGGAGGTAGGGCTAATAGACCTGGATCAGCCACTCTGAGTCCTCCAGTGAGCGCAGGAAGGAGACAGAGCTGGGCTCAAGGACGGGGCAGCCCGGGACACATGCCTTCAGCAGCTTTTTAAAGCTGGCCTTCACCTGCCGTGCCTCGAACACCTCAATGGGCACCAGCTCCCACTGCTGCAGGGGGTCTGGCCGCACACCCTGAAGAAAGCCAGCCACGGTGAGATGGGCCCAGGCCCTGTGCCCCCTCCCCGCTGCCCCGCCGCCCCACCTGGCCCTGTGGCCACCCCCGAGTCACCTTGAGCTGGGCTTTGTCCCCAATGATGTAGAGGGCTGCACGCTGGGGCCGCAGAAAGCCTGGGTCAGGGGGGGCCCCGTTAGCCTGGGGCGGGCCCAGCATGTCTCTGCCTGCTAGCCGGGAGCCCACGTCAGCACCGAGCCCACTGCTGCGCCCACTGGCCCGGACACTGCCCAGTTTACCTGCACAAAGAAAACAGATGAGCGCCTGTCCGGGCCTGGTGCACCACTTAACCTGGTGCTGAGCTCCCCAGGCAAGGCAGGGGAGGCCAACAGGACCCTGGCTGGGCCTGCATCTGCATTAGTGTCGGGGGGCTGGGGCGGGACTTGGGGTCTCAAGCTGTTAGCGCCCAGGGCTGTGGGCAGGGCTGGGTTATGCTGGTTGTCACGCGGGGCTGTTAGTGCCAGATGTGGGGGGATGTTAGTGCCCACGACTGCTCAATCATACAGGGATCATCAGTACCAGCGGGGGGGGCCAGCCTGTGTGGCCAGTACGGTACCTCGGGGAGCGGTCCATCTGGAGGCCGAGGCCGCCATGGGGTTGGACAGCGTGGTGACCCTGGCTCTGGGGCTGGGCACTGGGGGCACAGCAGAGAAAAGGCTCAGGCCTGACCCCAAGCCCGAGAATGTGCCCAGCATGGAGGGCCTGTGGTCCAAAGGGACTAGCTATAGGGCTGGGTTCCCACCAAGCCCCTCAGGAGCCCCACAGATAGCGGGGGGCAAAGCAAGGCCCTCTGAGCCTTCAGGGGCAGGCCAGGGAGCAGAGGGCCGGTGGCAGGTAGAAGAGAGGCAAGAACCCTAGGCTCTCCATCCAGCGCCTCCTCCACAGCCCATCCCCGCACCCTCAGCCCCCATGGGCACTGCCCAGAGCTGCTCACAGCGCACACCAGCAGGGGGGGCCGTCAGGTACAGCCCAGAGAAGAGGAAGCCTGGAACCTGGAGCTCCTGGCCGGGAACCATGGACAAGGGCAGGCCTGAGCCCCAGGGGCAGCACTGGCGGAGTAAGGCCACCTGCCTAAGAGGGCCAGGCCCCCAGCTTACAGGCGGGGATGGCCAGGCCCGGAGGCCCAGGGAGCCCGGAGGCCCAGGGAGCCCGGAGGCCCAGGGAGCCTGGGGGAGGAAGCTCCCCGGTGCCCTGGCTCAGCCGCCTCTGCAGAGGGCAGCACGGCACTGTCCCTATCTGCCACAGCAGCGGCTGCAAATAAGCACGACACCAGCCTGCCTCGCTGCAGGCAGGACGCACGATCACTCGCAGCAAGGACATGTGTGTCTCAATTAGGACCCACACACGGCGGAGCCCCCAGATGCCCCTGGGCAATGGGGGGGCTTGCTCTGAACTCGGGGGACACAGGGAGGCAGCACCAGGGGGCTCTGGGCACAGTCAAGGACGCCCGGGCCACATTAGGGAAAGATACAGGTGCTGCGGACAAAGAATCCTGTGGGGAGGATGCCACCTGCAGGCACTACTCAGAATCTCTCCACGACGGTGGAACCATAAAACATACTTGATGATGGACGCGGATGTTTGGAAGACCAAAAGCCCCTTGCACGAAGAACAAGATGCCAAGGCTGCCCCCCATAAGTGACCACAAGGGCACACTGGCCGCCCCTGTTCCAGGCCCCCTTGGCCCCAATGCCCATTGGGTGGTCAGGACAGACAGAAGCAGAGCGCCCGTATGTGAGCCCAGACCTACGGATTAAACAGGGACGGAGGCAGACAGTAGGGGATGTGCTGTGCAGAGCGACACCAAGCAGGGGCAGAAGCCGGGTGTGGGGCCTTCTCAGACCTCGACGGAGAGGTGAAGGCCCTCGTGTGAGCTGGAGACGCCCCCGCTGCTCCAGGAAGGGGCGGCAGGGCCACTGTGAGGCCCCGTGGAGTGGGCAGAGCGGGAAGAATCGGGCAGCATGAGCACACTTCCACGAGGCTCCACCCACCGGTGGTGCAACCTGCCCCCAAAACCCAGGAACTAGAGCAATGGCACAGAAAGATGCAGACGAGCATGAGAGGAGGGACGGGGGAAATGAGGAAGGCCTGACCAGCAAGGGACCCTGGCGTGGTGTCTGCACCAACCAGCACCTAAGGCGCGTCTCACAGCCAAGTGACCCCACGTGTGTCATGTACCGACTCTGAACCAGGTGGGGTACACATCGGTCACAGCACCCACACCTCCCAGGCGGACACCAGGCTGGGGTGGGGGGCAGGCCTAGGCCAGCAAAGGGAGCCTCACAGATCAAGCCCAGACGGAGGCCCCTGGACACCAGGCCCCAAGCACAAACAACCAGCATGGGCTGGACAGCAGCCGGAGTCCTGGGTCCGAGGATGAACCCTTGAGGATCTATCAGCCAGACCAAGAGGATGAGGCAGACAGGACCAGGGCACCCGTGGGGATCCAGGCAGGGGGAGGGGGGCATGGGGGTGATGGGGGCTTGGCGGGGAGACGGCACAGCTGGGACAGGGCAAGGAGAGAGGGGTAGCAGAGGACAGGGGCATACGGAGGAGATGGGGTGGCGGGAAGAGGGAAGGTCAGGGTCAGGCAGGGGTGATGAGAGACGCGGCTGAGACGGGGGCAGGACAGGGTCAGGGAGAAGCGAACGGGGTCAGGTGGGAGGTAAGCGCGACGCAGGAGAAGTGACTGCCGTGGAGCAAGGGCCCTGGAGGACGAGGCCGCCCCGTTCTGATGCTGCCTCCTCCCCTGACTTACAGAATATGACCCCCACGGTGCCCTCTCCCACCTGCAAGCCTCTGCGGGAACCCAGAACAAAGACAGCTCACCTCCCCAGCAAGGTCCCCACCTGTCACCAGGGGGTCAGACCAGCCCTCCGCAGCAGCCACGTACCCCTCGGACAGGAGCACACATGCTCGCATCCCCAAGCCCCTCTGCGGCCGCCCCACACCAGTGCCCCGACGGTGAGGAGCAGGGCCCGCTGATGGCTCCAACCTCCCAGGCCTGATGCCTTCTCTGCCACCTGCACCAGTGAGACCCTGCCACACCAGACAGAAGGCAGGGCCGGGTCCTAAGGGCCTGGATCCACGGGGGCGCAGTGGGGTCAACGGGTGTTGAGAGTGCCCGTGGTGGGGGCGGGCATGAGGAGACAAGTACAGACAAGCCTGAAGGAACCAGGACGATGCACGATGCAGCCAAGCAGTCAGATGGCCTTGACAAAGTGGGGGGACGAGACAAAAGGGCAGCCACCACGACAGCCGGGGTGGTGGGAAGTGCGGGGCCGCACAGGACAAAGGAGGAATGGGGACCAGATGGGGGTTTCAAGGGTCAGCTGTGTCCAGGGACCTGGAGACAGGCCACGGGCAGGGAAGACGAGGAGGTCAGGGAGCTCGGCCCAGGCAGGAGACAGGACCGATCAGAGCGCGGCTTCAGGATACTTACGTGATCCCACACCCCACCTGTTCCGCCCCCTCGCTGGCCTGCCTTCCACAAAGGCCAGCACGGCCTCCCCGGAAGCCCCCCCCGCCTGCAAGCACTCCTCACCGTGGCTGCCCACGTGGGCGGAGGAAAAGCCGCTGAGGGTGTTCCGCCCAGATGCATCCGCGTAGCGGGGCATGGAGTTGACCACCGCCTGCAGGTACTTCTCCTGCTCCAGGCTGCCAGAGTCAGCCTGGGACTGGCCTGCGGGAGGGGGAGGGGCTGGAGCCAGGCCCAGTGTGTGTGTGGGGGGGGCCCACGGGGCACAGGCGCGCGCGGGGACAGGCGGGGGTACCTGGGGAAGGCGCGTTCTGGGCCTTGAACAGGCCGACGACGCCCTTGCCATGCAGGCCGCCGGAGCGCAGCAGCACTGCCCTGGAACGCCCGCTGCGCCAGCACACCACCGGGAAACGGTTCTGGCGGTAGCAGCGGGACACACGCTGCAGGGCGTTGTCCTGGACGCTCTGGGGGACGATCAGCAGCCCCGGGTAGCTGTGAGGAGTCAGACTTGTCTGGGTGAGGCCGTAGGGGACAGGGCACGCCCCCAGTGCCGCAGTCCGCCCATGCCCCCAGCCTCTGCCACGCTCCCTCCATGCGCACCACTGGATGGGAGCCAGGGCACGGCTTCTCGGCGGCCTGCTCACCTGCGGCAGATGGCGTACATGCGGTTGACCGGGGAGATTCGGAAGGGCTCAGACTTGGCGCGGCTCAGGCTACTGCTCAGTGTGCCCAGCCCCAGACGCTGGTAGTCCCGGCAGCAGGCCCGCTCCACCAGGCTGCTCATGGTCATGCGATCCGAGGGCTTCAGGGCCGAGGATGGGGTCAGTGTGCTGGGCTCCAGCTCCTCCAACACTGGGGCGGGCCAGGCACACGGGGCAAGTCACCCACAGAATGCCCAGGCCCCCTGCCCTGCATATATGGTCTTCACCCAGACCACCTGGGGATTCCCACGCCCCCACCCACCTGAAATCTCATCCTCCTGGTCCTCAGGAGGTGGCTGGCCCCGCTGCTCCCAGCTGGGGGGGTTGTACTTCTTCCGAGTAACGTACTGCCGCCCGAGGGTTTTCTTGGCATTCTTCACGATATTCCGGGACAGGGTCCTGGAGGGGGTACGGGCATAGGGTCAGCAGAGGCAAGCAGAATGGACGCGGGGACACACACACACAGGGAGGGGTGGGGAACCTAGGGCCCAGCTCCACACCTGAGCGAAGGGCCCTTGTCCTTGGTGGTGCGGGGTGGCCGGCCGGGTGTGTGGGTGGAACCCAGGGTGAAGGCGAAGGTGCCCCTGATGTCTGGCGGGTACCGAAGCTTGTGGAGCTGCTTGCGGAAGAGCTCGGCGCTGTCGGACCCCACCTCCTCGTCAAAGGCCATCTTCAGGAGCTGTGTCAGACAAGAGGCCCTCAGAGTCTGGGTGCCCTCGGCTCTGGCCCTGGCCACAGAGGCACATAGGCCCCTGGCAAGAAGCTGGGGACCCCCTGGAGCCTGGCAGGGGCGTCCTCCTAAGGGACAGTGAGCATGTGCAGGGGCCACTCGTCATGCTGTGTGTGGCCCAGTCCTTCACCAAGTTGTCACATTTGTTTGTGTGACTTTCAGTTGTGCGGGATACAGCGCACGTTCCAGACACGGATGCCAGGGTCAGGGTCCCCCCAAACAAGCACAAGAGCCCTAAAGGCCAGCATGTCACACAGGCTGACGACACCAAGCTACAGCACAGCGGCTTGAGCGTGAACACAGACATCAGAGGTGCCACGGGTGAGATCCAGCCTAACACCAGCTCGTGAGAACGAGACTGGGGGCTCAGAGCCTGTGGGCCTGTGAGAGCCACGACGCAGGGGCCCCGAAGCCCCCCAGCACGCCCGTGCCCAGCACATCCCCTGGCCAGACCTGGAATGTGCAGGAACGCAACTGCAGCCCGTCCTGCAGGAGCTGGTCCACGGGGGTCTGCACGCTGATGCGCTTCTCCTTGGTCAGCGCAGCCACCGGGAAGGAACGCACCACCACCTGTTCCCCGACTTATCACAGGCCGGGCAGAGTCAGGGGGAGGGCAGGGGAGGGGGTCACAGAGTCTCGGGGTACCAGAGCTATGGAGGTCCCGGGCAGGTGGGAGGGGGGCAGACAACAACCTGTCTTGCACAGAGACCCTGCGCCCCTAAGGAGGGAAAGTCCTATTCCCCACCGAGGACCCGGGTGGGGAAGGGAGAGGGGGGGCAGACGAAGGGTCCAAAGGCTCACCCAGGGGGTCGGTGGGCATCCCCGTGAAGATCACCCGGTACGTGGTAAGGAAGACGGCGCCCTCAGCCGGGAGCAGTGCGGGCCCCCCCCCGGTGCCCCCCGCGCCCCCCTCACGCCCATCTGGCAGCAGGTAGACACGCAGGCCGTCCAGCACACACTCCTCATCAGGTAGCAGGCGTGGCCGCAGCAGTTTCGGCTGCTCAGGGACAAGAATCGCACCTCAGGGTACTGCCCAGGCCCTGGGGCCACAGCCCTGCCCGGCCCACGCTCACCTTTTGGATGGGGGGCAGCCTCTTGCTCTCACGGTGCACAGCCTCCAGAGTCTCGATGTGCATCTGGACGATGTCTGGGAGACAGCTGCTTTCATACCCTGGGCCCCCCATGCCTGCCCGGCTCAGGAGAGCGTTTCCACACCCAGACCCCCCATACCTGGCACCATGACATGCAGCCCCTTGAGGTGGTCGCTGGTGACCCCACTCTCTGTGCAGACCTTGTCCACAAAGCGGTTAATGAAGCGGACCACGGCCCCAGCCACATCGCAGGTCTCTGCATCCTCGAAGCCACTCTCCGTGTCATAGCTCTCTGCCACACTGCCCGCCATGCTAGGCCAGGGACGGGGCATGGTGGGCACAGGCCCAGCCACCCGAGCCCCACCCACCCTCCAAGGCCCACGAGGCCCCGGCCGCACCTGCTGGTGACCAGGCTGTTGCTGGCACTCTCTAGGTCGCCCAGCCCTGCACGCTCCCGCAGGAGGCGGCTCTTGCTACTGTCCAGGGGCAGCAGCAAGTAGCTCATGCGGTTAGCGTAATGGATGGCCTGGCTGAACACCGTGCTCTCCTCCTTCTGCACCAGCTCCTGCTGCTTCTCTCGGCTCAGGGTTGGCCACAGGCGCCGCTGCTCAGAGGCCACATCCAGGGCAGAGCGCTCATCCTCCGGTGCAGACAGCTCCCCCACCTGCCACAGCGCCGAAAGTGAGCCAGGACGGGGCTGGGCTGGCCTGAGGCCCGAGGCCCGGGGGTCCCCGCACACCTGCACGTGGTCTCCGTCCTCAGCGGGCTCTAGGTAGAGGGCCCGGATGTGGGTCTGCACGTCCCCATAGAACATGGCCTCCCAAAACTGCGGGGTGCTCCACACCACGTGCTCCTGCACGCAGCTGTACGCAAACTGGGTCACTCCCGGGCTCAGCTTCTGCAGAGGCCGGGGCGGGGGGGGGGGCGGTCACCAGGTGCAGCAGGATGGGGCGAGGGAAGGGCACCGGGGCGACCCCAGAACTCACCCGGCAGAAGGCTGTGACCAGGGGCAGCAGAGCCGCTGCGATGCCATGCTCGTCCAGGGAGGTGCAGTCCTGCAAGAGCCGTGAGCTGCCCGAACCGTGCCCACACGCCCACCCTGCCCTGACCAGCCCCGCCGCCAGAGCAGCATCTCCCGGCACTGTCCCTGTCTGTGCTGCTCCCGAAGGGCCGCCCAGAGGTTCAGGTCCTCCCGCTGCCACCCCCACCCCCAGACCAGAATCTCCCCAGCTGTCGGCACCGCCAGAAGATGCATCCTCACGGGTAGACCAGGGAACCCCTGCCTGCCCCACCCTTGCGTCCACACCAGGAGCAGGATGGGGGCCCGGCCTCACCTGCAGGCAGCAGTTCATCATGCGGACAACAAAGTCAAACTGCTGGTGGTCCAGGACTGCCCGGTTCTGCTGCACGTGCAGGTGCAGCTCTTGCGTGAGGCAGCGGCGCGCTGCGCGCCCCTTCAGTGCCCTCAGGACAGCTGGGAGCAGCTGCGGACAGGGGAACATGAGGCTGGGGGCATTCAACCATGCCCTGGAGGGAGGGGGAGGCACAGGGCACAGAGCCCAGGAGGGGAGGGCAGTGGCCCCCGGGAGGCCAGAGCCCAGGCTCTAAGCACAGAGGGGATCTGGAAGCCGTCCAGGTCAGGTGTGCCTAGACTCTGGGAGTTCACTGCCCCACAGAGACGGAGACGCTGCACACCCACAGCGGGGTGCAGCCCCTTGGCCCTGAGCCCCAGCACGCACCAGCTCCTATGTCTGCAGCCCCGCCACTGGCCAGGGCCTCAGTGTCCAAAAAGCATAAGCCTAACGCAGAGCTGGTGGCCGGCTGGGCATCGGGCAGGCCACAGAAAGGGCCGTGTGCTTGTTCTCTTATTATTTTTCATCGTAAAATCACTGGGAGCCCTGAAGGCCCCTCCCAGGAGACCGTGCAGCCGTGAGGCAATCTGGCTGCTGTGAAACCCAGAGGAGCTCTCGAGCACCACAGACGGCAACACCAACACACACACAACTGGGGTGGGCCTGCACTTCCGTCAGGAAGGATGAAGAAGAAACTCAGCAGCAGAAACCTGCAGGTTCTGATGTCTGAAAGATGAAGTAAAGCCCTCCTGCAAGCCACCCCCACAGGCTGTGCCCAGCTGCACTGAGGAAGGGGCTGGACACCTGGTATCACCTGCCCCTCGCGCCCCCAGCAGGTGAACGGACCCTGGGTTCAGCACCCTTCACAGGTGCTGCCTGCGCCCGGCTGCCCTCACCTTCTTGGCCTCAAGCATCTTCCCCTCAAACACGTACGAGATACAGTTTCGAACCACCTCCAGCCGGCGTGCGCTGTTGCCATGGAGCCCGCTACTCCGCTCCAAGATGGCAGCTGGGGAAAAGAAAATGCACTCATCTCTGACCTCGTGCCCACCCTGGGCCGAGCTCCCTGGCCCCCTCCCCGTTACGCACTCATGGGGGGCCCCGAGGGCACGGTGGTCCTCCTCTCAGCCTTCACGGCCGGTGGTGCGCCCTGCATCTTGGCTGTGGCCTGGTCCACGATCCACTGCACCATGCCGTCGTCCAGCCGGGGGAAGGGGCGGGGCACCCGCCGCAGGTGACTGGCCTCCCCCGGCCTCTGCACCTTGTGCATAGCCACAGCGGGGTATGGATTCTCCTGGGTGGGACACATATACGTGTGGGCAAGCTCCCTGATGCCAGGTGGAATGATGACCGAGCCAGGCTGGTCCACCCCCTTGTGTCACCCGCCGTACATTCTTGTAAAGCTGCTCTGCCAGTTCTTTGACGTGACGCAGGACGCGCTGGGGGTGGTTCTCATCTGCCCGCATCCGTGCCACCTCATGGGCCACCAGCTGGGGGAAGAGGCAGGGTCAGACAGGCTGGGCGAGGCGGGGAGTGGTGGCAGGGGCTCCTCCCAACTGGGGTGGGGGCGCACCTCATCGAACAGGTCCGTAGCACGGTAAGGGACCCCACGCTCTGACACGAAGCCTGCAAAGGCCATGCCCTCCAGCACCTTCATCAGGAAATCATCCTCCACCAGCCCACGCTGGCCCAGGAAGGCTGCCTGGGGGCACACAAGGGGGTCAGCCCCTTAGCATTGACTTCCTGCCTGCTTCCACCCTTAGCCCCACCTGCGGCCCACCTTATGAAAGCGGATGACAGGCTCTGGATGGATGCGGACCATGTGCAGACACCAACGATAACCCTGTAGAAGCTGAGCAAAGAGCCGCAGAAAGACAGCACGCAGCTCCTTGTCCTGAGGTACAGGTGAGTGCAGGTGAGGATGAAGCCACAGGCCTGCCCTAGCCCCTGCACGTGGCAGCCCTCCCCCTACCCCAGGCTCCACCCCGACACACCCACACACACCTATCCACGCCCTGCCAGGCCTCCCAGGCGCCTCTGCCCCGTCCTGCACCTCCAACCTTCTTTCACACAAAGCCACAGCAATTCCTCTAAGGCTCAGTGCTGACAGCCACTCCTGCACAGGCCCCTTAAAGACTCACCCCCCACGCGGCCCCTGCAACTGGCCCAGAGGAGTGGCTGCACAGTGTGACTGGCGCCGCCTGCTGGCCACTGGTGGCAGCAGACCTAAGGAGAGGGCGCAGGGTCGGCGCAGGGTCGGCGCAGGCCCTGCGCTGGGACCGCAGTGACCCCCACCTGCATCTTCAGGGAGGAAGCGTTCGTTGACGGTGGTGGGAAGGCAAGATCCGCTAACTCCAGCTCTGGATCCAGGACCTGCAGAAGCAGAGGGGAGCAGGGATGGCCGCACACCCAGGGTCCGGGGCTCCCCTTGCTGCCAGGTGACCCCATCTCAGCTGCCCCGAAGCCCCTGGCCCCGCCTCACCATGCTCAGCACACTATGCGTCTGACTCTGCAGCGGCTCCGGCAGGGGGGGAATGTGCACACACTCAGGGACCGTCACCGTCCCTCCGTCGAGATCAGCAATGATCACGTCCAGCTATGGATCAAAGGGAGTAAGCGGTCAGGGAGCCGCCGGCCAGTCAGCGTGGCCCGGAGCAGGAAGGGAGGCACAGGCCACAGCCCTCACCAGCTCTTGGGTCTCTGCCTGGAAGGCCGCGTTGACACCGATGATGAAGGGCGTGGGGGTGCTGAGGACCTCCAAGAGCTGCGCCGGCAGGATGGGCACGTAGGTGAAGCTGCAACGAGCGAGGGCTCAGTGCGGGGGGCCGAGGGCGGGGTGGGAGGAGGGGCTGGGCGGCAGCAGGGGCACCTGTATCGGAGAGGAAACAGCAACGCCAGGAGGCCCCGGCAGGCGTCTGAGAGCCGCTGGTAGCTCCGGGACAGGAAGAGCACCTTGTGCTCTGTGAGCGCAGCGCAGAACAAAGACAGCACGTTGGTGATGCCTGCAGGGAAAAGCACAGGATTGGAGGGCCAGCTGAGCAGGAACCCCACCTGTGACCCAGCCCCAGGAGGGGAGAGGGCGGCATGTGCAGCTGGGGCAGCCGGGCTCACCCAACTGGCGGAACAGCAGGGCGACACTGCAGCGGCTGATGGGCAGCGAGTCGGCGAGTGGGGTCTGGATGACCTGCCGGTCACCGGCCCCCAAAGAGATGGTTCTCTGTGGAAAGAGAGGGGCTGGTGTTCAGCTGCCCCGACAAGACCCGTGTCTGCCCAGAGCTCCAGGAGCGGAAGTGAGACCGGCCACGACAGGCCTCCCACAGGAGGGAAAGGCCACGGCCGGCCTGCCGGCCTGAGCACTGCTGCCAGGAAAACTCAGGGCCTCTGACCTGGGGCAAGGTGGGGCCTGGGTGGGCGGAAGAAACAAAGAATCCGTACCACTCCATCCTCAACAGAGTCCAGCTGCACAGGACAGGCAGAGAAACACAGTTAGACGCACCTACATGCAGGGGCACCGACCAGAGAGCAGACAGACACACTGACACCAACATCCAGAGCCAGGCACACAAACTGAAGGGTGCCAGGTAGGGAGCCAGGCAAGACATGGGACACACAGGTGAGCAGGCAGGGCCACGAAGGGAATACAGGTGACGGCAGCACCAAGACGCAGGAGAGTGTCCAAGGTCTGGGCCATGCTGAGCCCAGCTGGACGCAGAGCGCCCACAGGCCGCACCCTCATGGTCTGGGACACCAGGAGGGCCGTGGCTGTGGGCGGACAGCAGCTGCCCCCAGGACCCACCTGTGAGCCCCCAGCCAGGGGGATGATGCACGTGAGCAGGTTTCCAATCACATTCTCCAGGCCCACGTTCAGGCCCTCCACATGGATGGTGTAAATGAGGCCCAGGCTGTTCTGCAAGGACCACAGACTGGGGAATGGTGGCGCCACTGGCGGGGGCACCCCATATCCTGCCTTGAACCCTGGCTGCCCGCCTCACCCTGAACACCTCTGCGTGGTCCAGTCGAGACACCAGCACCAGTGTCTTTGGTGCGAACAGCTGGCCAGGTGGGCCAGGGGTCGCAGGTGACAGCTGCGCTGGGCCACCCTCGTCCGCCTCCTCCTCCCGCTCAGTGGCGTCCTCGGCACACACCACTTCCTGTGGACAGAAGCCCCGTCTGCCCCGCTCTCAGGCATGTCCCACAGGCCCAGGGGGAGGACACAGGTGACTCAGACGGGAGCAGCCCTCTGGGAACTCGGGCCTCCGTGGGGTTGAGGCACCAGGACTTGCCACAGACAGGGGGACACACCCATGGACAGAGGCAGAGGGAGTCGGCCGTAGCCAGAACCCCATGCAGGCTGTACCCCAGAGCCCCCAAGATGACCTGTGTGGGCTCTGCTGGCTCCCAGAAGGTCAAGCAGGCGCAGTAGTGCCGCTCAGAGTTGATGTCGGTGAGGACGGCAACGAAGAAGGTTGGTGGGTTCCTCTCAGGACACAGCTGCCACCCGCTGGGCTGGCAAAACTGCAGGGAAGGGGGGTGAGGGGTCAGCAGTTAGCTCCCTCTGTCTCCCTGCCCTCGGAAGTCTGCATCCATGGACACCAGGTTCCAGTGTAGCAGGGCAGCACCTCACTCTGCGACCCTCGGTGCATTTCACCTCCTAGACCTCCACCTTCCCCCGCAAAAGGAAGTCACAGCTTCTGGTCTCACTGTGGCCAGAGAACTCTGTGATGCAGGACATGGTGTCCACCATCACAAGGGACAGACAACACAACGTGCTGTGGACACCAAGTACCCTGCCAGCCAAGCCCATGACCCCCACCCTCCACCCTCTGCAGCAGTTCAGCTATCTCCTTATGCCCATCGGGGGCTGGGCACTGCAGAGGCTCCTCACAGTCCTGGGGAACCCAGTGCCGGCCTGCCCCCACCCCCACCTCAGCACCCCCCACTCACCAGCTCGATGCCCTGGGGGAACGGGTTGTCCTCCCAGTCCTTCTCTGGGAAGCGTTGCAGGATATGGCCCTGGCCTTCCCCACTCCCTGAGGACAGAAGCACATGGTCAGGGCCTCTCCCACCACCCACACCCCCCACCCAGGCAGGAGCTTCAAGGGTCTCAGATGGAAACCGCCTACCCAGCCTGGCCTTTGTGTAGCATCAGACCAGCCTCAGCTCCCAGACCTATCGTTTCCCTAAAAGTAGTCTCAGGAGGGGTGGCCACTAGGCAGCCACGCACCCAGAGGGCCACCAGAGGGCACACTGAGAAGCCCTGGGATGGGACAGGCAGTCCTGAAAGCCTTTGGCTACAGGCCAGGCGCCCAGCGCATGGAAGCCCCAGCTTGGTGCCACTCCCATGCCTCTCCCCAACACGCCAACACCCCCAGGCAGAACCCACCCCCAGCCTGTTGCACACCAGCAAGCCAGCCCTCCATCAGGGGGAGAGCAGCTCTGGGCTGTTCCATAGCCGACCACCAGCTTCGGCACTTAGCCCCCAGCAGGCAGTGAGCACCATGAGGACGGGGGCACCCCATCCCTGGCTCACCTCACCTGCCAGCTCTGAGCCCATTCAAGGGGCAGAGGTCTCACACCTGTGCCAGGGGGGAGAACACCCAGGCCCGAACTGCTGCCTGTACCACTGCCTCAGAGACAGGCCCAGCACAGGGCCCAGAGAGGTGGTAGCTGTCAGAAAGGACAGACCGGGTCTCAGGACACCCACTGAAGGAGCACCCTCCTGAGCGCTGGGGATCCAGCCGCATTCAGGGGCACTGAAGGCCCGTCCTCTGCCTGAGCACAGCACTGTGCACAGCCCCACAGACCGGGGGCGCTGAGCGCAGCCCTAGGTCCCCCGGGCCAGGGAGGAGGGATGGGGGCAGGAGGCCCAGGGGTGCTGTCCCCACTCTATGCCTAGGGCACTATTCCCAGCTCCGGTCCACATGGGTGGAGTCAGGGGCCCTTGCGTCTTGCTCACCCACTCCAGAGCCAAAATAGGAGGCATGGTGAGGGCCCTGTCAGGGGACCACTCACCTCACAAGACCAGCAGAGAACGGACACAGGTCTCTGTTCTACCCCCAGCTCCCACCCAGCATGGCAGCAGGGTAAAGCAGCTAAGACAGAAACCTCCCTACCTTCACCTCCCACACACGACAGGCAGGTCCCCGGGCACAGATGTCCCCACCCTATGCTCGAACCAGCTTCAACACCACTGCCCACACCAGGAGAAGAGTAGGAGCGAATAGATAAGGAGTAAGCATTGGGCATGAAGCCCCTCTAAGGGCCTGCCCCAAGGCCCAGAAAGCCAAGGGGCACAGCCTCTGAGGACCTGCTGGATACAGCTCCCCCACCCCCATCCAGCTAGCCTGGTCCATCCTAAATGTGCACCGGAGCCTCGGACAGAGCCAGGGGCCTGGGCACTGGTGAGACTGGTGAGGAGACCCCAGCAACTTGACAGCAAAGGAGCTGAGCTACAATCTCAGGAGACCACCCACCCTCCAGGATAATGGAGGCAATGCCAAGGAGGTCGGCAGCGGCGGGCAGGTTGCTGCCGGTGGGGCGAGGAGGGGCCATGACTCTGACTCACAAAACCTCAGTTTCCTGTTCCCCTCCCCCTCCCACCACTGAGACTCTGAAAAGACAGACCAGATGAGACAGGGAACAGGAACAGGTGTCTGTTGGTACCGTACCTACCTACACGTGAGCGTGCAGACACGCACATGGTCCACTAAGACAAAGCCCCTTGGGTCCCCCCAGGCCCACTCCCCAGGGCCACCCTCAACAGGCCCAGGCCAGCTCACCCTGAGCCATGGCTTCCCTCCCCACCCACTCCCCCAAGGGCTGATTTGTGCGCAGCCCCAAACCACCATCTGGGCCTGGGCCTGGCTGGCACCCAGGGCTCACCCAGTTCTTGCCACGAGGCAGCAGGCGGAGGAAGGAAGAAGGGGGTGTATGCAGACGGGGACAGCAGCCTCTGCCCCACAGGCTCCCTCCCAAGGCCAGACAGCCTTCGGAGGGCTGCTCTCAGCAACGTCTCCCCACAGGGAAGCAGACAACGTAACTGGCCATTGTCCACGACCCACCCTCCCCACTCCACTTAGCCTGTGAAACATCAACTCCCACTTGCAGGGTTCTGCCCTCTGAAGAACCAACTGGAGGCTTTCTTTCAACTGCCAGTAGGCATCCCCCCCACAACCCCCAGCTCCTTCTCTGGGCCATCATGGTCCCAAACTTGGCCTTTAGGTCTCAGCCCAGAGACTGCCCCCTCCTCCAGGCAGCTCTCTGCACCCTGCCTGAGCCTGGGGCAGCAGGACCCCCAGGACCTCCCTCCCTCCACTATACTCCTCTGTGATTCCTGGTGCACCTGTTGGCTGGCTGGGCCAGATGGGAGCTCCATAAGCAAGAAACTATGTCTCTGTATCCATCGCCGCACCTGTGCCTGGCACAGACCGCAGCCCTATGAGGGCTTGCCGAATGCATACAGCCAGCGACACAACCATCCTCCCACACCCAGGCCCACTCACACCCCACAAGCGAACAGGTTCCTTAATCAGAAGTGCAGGGCAGCTTTTGGAGCCCCAGGGTGCTCCAGGACAGGCAAGCCCTCCCTGGAAGGGCACACCACAGAGAGGCCCGGACTCCTCGTCTTTTTCCAACCCTCTCTGAAACCTGGCCCACACCTCAGCTCTGTGCTAGCAGGGGCCAGGCTGCAACCTGGCTGCTGGCCTGCATCCTGGGGGAGGTGAGGGCTCTGCCATGTCTCCCAGTGTCCCCCACCCACTTGAGCCCTTGTGCCCATGGAGGTGCCCTGCAGCAGCTCAGCTCCCTACCCCACCAGATCCTCCCCCACCTCGGAGGAGGAAGGGCACCCTGTCACCCCACAGTGGTAGAACTAATCTAACCAGCACCATCACGTGTCCCAGGGTGGGACTCTTTGGGAGGTCTTAGGAGGAAGGGCACCAAAGTCCCCTGAGACACATAGGCGGACAATCACTTCCTCTTGCAACCATGTCCCCACAGCCAGCCCTGTGTGGGCTGTAGGCCTGAACACAGGGCGAGAGAACACAGAGCACGCGTTCTGTCATCTGCTGGCAGTGGCCGTCACCAGTGCCAGGCTCCGACGCCTGGAGGGCCAGCCCAGGCCAGCATGCACTGTGAGCAGAGGCAAGGGAGGATGGCAGCCTCCTCTGCCTGCCCCTCCCGTTCCTCCACACACCCCAGCGCAGATGCCCTGGGACAGGCTCAGCTATAGGAAGAGAGTGAAGGAAGGACGGGACCTTCCTGCTGCTCCACCCACCCAACCTCAACACCCAGGGCGTCCCAGCCAGCCACAGCAACAGGATGTGTGCAGAGGGACTGCCACCTCTCCAGTGGTCCTCCCCAACCTTCCCCCAGGCAGACCAGACCGGCTCCCAGGGTGGGGGCTGGAAGCCAGCTGAGGCCATTCCAAACAGCCCCAACCTGCTCCAGAGGGCAGGAACATGGGTGGGGAGAGGAGATGGGGCCCAGGAATGTGGCCCGCTCAGCACAGTCAGATCTGAGAAAGGCCAGGCCATGGGACAGAAGGTCTTCTTCTCAAATGCTAGGGGTGGGGCTGGGCATGGGGAGGGGGTGCACCAGGAGGGGTCCTCCTCCCTGGCAGACATGCACCCAGCTGCCTGGTCAGGTCAAGTGTGTCTCCTGCTTCCAAAGACACACCCTGGCACTGGCCATGCTGTGTTCAATCAGCTGACCACTGGCAGGGCCCTCCCAGCCCAGAAGCCAGGCAGGTGTGATCTGACTGGCCCCCACAGCATCCCCAGAGCTGGGCCCGGGGTGCAGAAGGTGCTAAACCCATGTCCTGAGTGAAGGAGCTCCTCCCACTCACCAGGGGAGGGGTCTGCACTCTGAAAGTTGGGGTCCCATTCAGCCCCCTCCCCATGCTCCTGCCTGGAGAAGTCTGCCAGATGGTAACCATAAAACCAGATGCTCCCTCAGGCAGGGCTCCCGTACCCAGACCCTGCATCCACCAGCTCCAGACAGGATGTCCAGATCCAGGCCAAAGACAAGCTATCCCCCTCTCCTACCCCCTCCACTGAACCCAGAAGACCCTGCATCCCTGTCCTGATGTCCTAGGCCCGCCAGCACACAAGGTCCTCCACCTCCAGCAGAACTGCCCACTGTGTCAGTGCCTATGGGTACCACACACCTGCTGCTCATCATTAATAAGACATCCATTACTTCCTGGAGCCTCCCCTGTGAACTGCTTCACATTTGTGTCCACCTCATGCTCATGGAAGCCTGGGAGGTCTGTGTGACTCATTCCAACTCCAGATGAAAAAGCTGAGGAGCAGAGAGCTGGAAGACTGGCCCAAGGTCAAGAGCTATCAAGTGGCAAAAGCAGGTACCACTGACTCCCCCATGTAGCGCTCCTCTGCTTCAGGCTTCCCCCCTCCACTGGGCTCTGATCTCCGCACTATGGCCAGGGTCCTAGACTGTAGGCTTATTTCTCACAGGGATGGATGAGTCCTGCCAACAGAGGCCCTGAAGCTGGGTGGCCAGCCAGCAACTGACCAGCTCCAGCCCTGGAAGGCAGTGAGGGGCTCCATGGCCCGCACCCCTACTGCAGTGGACACTCAGGGTAAGCAGGCATTATGGACTTGAGCCTTCTTTCCCGTCTTTATCAGAGGCCACAAATGCCAGGGGTGCCCACCCCGAGTGTCACAGCCAGCTTGCCATGGAACCCACTCATACCACCTCCCACTTCCCTAATTCACCTTCAACTCACCACCCCTGTTGCTACCACCTGGCTCTGCCTGTGGTCTCTGCCTCCCCAGACCCTTCCCACACCAGCCTCAGCATTGTCAGCCTCCAAGCCCACTCTGTTGATGCAGCTCCAGCCCAGGGCCCTCATGCTGGGGCAGCCCCTCAGCCAACCTTGTTCCCCTGGATCCCATGCCTCCCTCTGTTCCAGGTGGTATGGCCTCCTCGCTGCCCCCCCCGCCACGTGCACCTTGGAACAGACAGTTCTCCCTCTGTGGGCCCATACAACACTGACAGTGAGCCTGCCACGTGCAGACTGGGACACAAAGATGACTGGTTCTTGCTGCAAAACCTCCCTCTCTGGAGGAAGACACGCTCATCACTGAGGGTGTCAGGGGATGGACCCTTGGACAGAGAAGAGGAGCGAGTCCTACGAGGGCACTGAGGAGGGTCTGGAGTGTGCAGGGTCCAGCAGGTAGAGTCTCAGCAAGAAAGGCAAGGAGGAGAGAAAGTCTGGGTTCCGGGTGATGACAGTGGCAACTGGGCTGACAAGAAGCAGCACAGATTGGGGGCTCAACCCCACCTTCAGTCTCGAGGTTAAGCCCCAGCCTGACCACAGAGGCATCCCCCAAGGACATGTACTGCCCCCCTGCAGTTGGGATTTGAGCCTACAGCTTGGTGGTGGGTTAGCCTCTGTGGGGGCTCAGACCAGGCAATCAACCTCTCTGCCTGACTCCACTCTATGTATGAGGAAGAGGGCAAGGAAACCTTGGTGGGCTGCTGGGAGGAAGAAATGAGATCACACACACAAAGGGCTGTGCAGGGCCTGGCACATGGAGAGCACTCCCCAACCCACTGTCTCCGTGACTGTTGCTGATGTCATTGTCAGGCTCTGTTTTCTGCTACCCCTGGGCTGAAGGGCTCTCAGACACAGGCGCTGCCCCTAGACATGGACCTCCTGGACATCGGCACCAGTCACCACAACGATCCCCCACCCAGGGCTTGGCTTGCAGGCATGAGGACCGCAGGCCCTCTGCCAGGAATGCTCTTCTCTCTCTCCACCTCACATTTCCTCCTGAAGTCGTCCTTAAATGCCACCCCTTTCTGCATTCCACCTGGACCTGAGACATCCCACACGGGCAGGGCGGAGGCTCCAGACCAGAGGCACTGGGGGTCAAAGGAGGGGCTTGCAAGCGAAGTATCCGTGCCCCTTGAGGCAGAGCCACCCGGCAGTCGGCCAAGGCAGAGAGGGCCCATCCCACCCAACTGGGAGCCGGGAGGCCGAGCCTTCTCGGGGCCCTCCCACCTCCCAGGCCCACGCCAAAGCTCTGCCTGACCCGGTTCTGTCCTGAGTGTGGTGGGCAGGTTCGGCTCGCCGCGTCGCACGGCCCTGCTGTCCTCAGAGAGGCCGCCCCTCCCCGACCCCCGACGCCAGCCCGGCAGGTGCCCCGGACGACCCTCGTGCTGGCCCGGCGTCCGCGGCCCGCCCGCCTCACATGTCCCCGCGACTGCCCCGGAGCGCCTGTCCTGCCGCCCCGGCTGACCCTTCCCGGTCTCCGGCCCTCCGCCCTCAGCCCTCGGCCGCGGGCCCGGCACTCACCGCGCGGGTGCGGCCCGAACGCCACCAGCACGAAGTAGTCCGCGAGCCGCGCCATGGCGAGGTGCGCGGGCGGGCTCCGCGGCTCGGGGACGCGAGGGCGGCGCGCTCATGGCCCGGCCCCGGCCCCGGCCCGTGCTCCCCGGACAACCCGGGCCCGCTCCGCGGCGGCAGCCAGGGCTCCCGCCGCCATCTTCCCAGCCAGCCGGCCCGCCCGGCCGCGCCGTGCGCCTGCGCGGCCCCGCTCCGCCCCCATCATGGGCGGGGCCCGGAGCTACACGCTCCTATTGGGCCAGTCGGCGCGGGCTCGGTTCCCGGGGGCGGGTCCCCTCCCGGCCCCGCCCCCCGGGCGCTGACAGCGACGGCGGCTCGCGCGGGTCAGCTGCAGGCGCGGCCCGGGTCGGAGGTGGCCTGGAGCTCCGGGCTCCTACGCCGGGGTGGAGACCGGCCGGGCCTCGCTCCTGGGAGCTCCCGGGGATCCCGCTGTACGCCGGCGCTGCCAGTTTGGAGGAAGGCAGAAGGGCCCGGGCCTGCCCCCAGATCTCCCAAGCCTGGGGCACAGGACGTCCCCTTATGGGCTGCCAATCTGGGGATTGCGGGCGAGAACTCAGGACTTGCCCTTGGGGTTCACGGCCCGAGGAGGGCTCGGGCCCCCCTTGGGTGGGGTGTCCTTTAACAAGGTGCGCTGCCGGTCCCGCTGTGAAGACCAGCGTCCTAAGCCGAGAGCACCTGGAGGCCGGGTGCGGTCCCTGGGAGTTGGCTGCACCACCCTCAGGGGCGAGGACCGGCCGGGCTTCCCCGCCGTGGCACAGGGATGGGCGAGGGGGACACGGGAGTCTAGGGCAGGACGTGCTGGGAGAGGAGCTGGAGAGGTGGAGGGAGCCTCGGGCCACTCACTGATCAGCTGGGAGGGGGCTGGCAGGATTGGGCTTGCTTTTAGATGCTTGGCTGCACAAGAACTTAGAAAGGAACAGACTGCCCACATCCATGTGCCCCTCCCTTGCAGGAGCCAGCTGGAGAATGAATGAAACTGAACCCAGAGATCCCACCAGGCGCTCGCTTCCCTCTGCTCCCGGTCCTGGGGCTCAGGCCCAGCCACACCTCTGCTTCTGTTGGGTATTGGGCCCATAGGCTGGGAAGCCCTCCTTTTGGCCCCAGGTGGCTTGAGTTGGTTTCTGTCACCTATACCCAAAAAGGTCCTCACCACCACATTACCACACCATCGAGCTGTGCCTGGGCAGGCAGGGTCCCTGGCAAATCCTCTGGCCTGGCGCCTGAGTCCAGGGCTGGCTGTCCCTCAGAGACTGTGGAGGCCCTGCACCCCATGCCCCAACCCTCATGCCCTAAGGAGCCCATTCCTTGCAGCCCCTTCAGAGGTGCCTTAGGGTCGAGGGTAGGTTTGGTGTCCCTTCCAGACCATGATATCCCCACTGAGTTTCTCACCATCAAGTCTCCTGACCACTGCACTGTCCGTGTCACCTCCTCCGGGGCACCAGGCCTGCCCTGTTACCTCCTCTCTCCAGCAGGTTCAGACCTCTTGCAGGGAGTGGCTCTCCCTGGCTTCCTCCTTCCTGCCTTTCACCCCCACCCACTGTGGCTCCCATCACCTCTCATCCTGCCCATGTCCTTGTCAGCCCCCGGCCTCTCTGACTTTGTTTTCACTGCCCTCATCTGGCAAACCCCAGCCACGCACCGTCCTGTACTACCCCATCGTGCAGAGTGGCCATGATGACACCATGGGCATTGCCCCCACTTCCCAGCCTGCTGGTGTCCGGGGAGTCTCGGACCCCACCTGCTACGTCTCAGAGATGACCCCACTGCCCCTCCTTCATAGAGAAAACAAAGCCATCAGAGGGGAGGCCTCGTTTTGCATTAGCAAACCTCAAGTCTGCCCCCTCACACCACAACTCCTCCCTCCACAGTTACCACTGAGGCTCTGCCCCTCCCCCCCCACCGCTTGCTGTTCCCTTTCCATGCCCCCCACCCTCACTCACGCTCTCTCCACAGATGCTGGCCATGAGGATTAAACTCAATCTCCCCACCTTGAAACATTCAAGCAAAGCCTCTCTTCAAGCTCTTTGCCCAGCCAGCCTCCACCCTCGCTTTTCTTGCCCCGCACAAATTTCTTCTCTAAAGCATTCTTCCAACATCACCAGCTCCACCTTCCTCCTGTGGCCCAGTCCCCACTTGCCAGGGAAACCTCTGGGCTTCTTGCGAAATTCCACAGGCCAGCAGCTCCTGCAACTGAGCATAACTGAAGGTAGCCCTGGGTCTCCCCTTGGAGGACACACACACCATTACAGACAGTAAGGACTGCAAGATGTGCTATCCAGGGGGCTGTGGGGCCACAGAAGGGGCCTCTCATCCAGTCAGCAGGGACAGGGGCAAAATAAGCAGCCAGGCTGAGACTTGGGGGCCAGAGGACACCCCATGCATCTGTGGGTTTGGTGGGGGGAGACAGGACCACAGGCCCATGGTGGCAGCAAGTATTCTGAAAGAATGCGGTGACCCACAGGCCTATGAACTGCACTGAGGTCTACCTTCACTTTCCCAGATTAAAAAATCTTGCAGAGGCAAGGAATTTTGATTTAGTTTCTTCTTTATTGGAGACATAAGTAGTACGATCACCTTTGAGTTTTAGAAAGGTGGCACTGGTGACTGTGGCGGACAGATTGGGGGGAGGGGCAGGCTCCCTGGGGGTCCTCTGCCCACCCCTTCCCTGGTTGTCCCTCCAGAGCTGGCGTGCGGCTTCTGTCCTCTGTCTGCAGTGTCTGGGGGCAGAGCTCACCACACCTCTCGCCTCCCAGAGCCTTGCCATCTGTGAAACTCCCAGATCTGTGTTCCAGGTTGGCCCTCCCTTCAGCCCCAGGCCCACAAGGCTAGAGCGCAGCCAGACATGTCTGCCAGGATGACCCCAGGCAGCCAAACCCTACCCTCTCTCACTAGGGGCTCCCTGCATCAGCAAACAAAAGGGCTGACCCTCCTCGCCCCCCAGTGTCGCTCAGTTTCTCTCAGACCCATCTGCTCGCCCCCAGGCACTTTTCTAATATAAATGTGATGGCTTCACTCTCTCTCCTCCCCCAGGTGATAAAAATAAATAAACAAATAGAAACCGGAATAGCTGCTGATGCTTCCCTACCTCCTTCAGGATGTAAACCAAGCTCTTTAATATGTCATGCGTTCCACACTTGTTGATTTATTCACCCAGCAAATGTTTATCGAGCTCCCATGGTGTGTGCAGCAGGAGGAACAGAGTGACCAGGTCATCCGTGATGACTTGACAGAGGGAGCAGGACTGGAGCAGCTAAGACAGGAGGAGATGTGAATGGACACAGAGGTGCTCAGATGATCAAAGAAACATGGGGGGGGGAGAGTGATGGGGTAATTGTCCCTTCTCAGATAGACAAAGACCCAAGAGTGGCTAAAGCCAAGCCCATTATCAGTTGAGAGTGGACGGCTTTGTGGAGAACAGCTGGTACTATTTGTCAACACACAGCTTCACCTTCAACCAGAATTTCTACCTCTAGGAAAATATCCCATCCAGACACTTCTCTGAGCTCACAACAGAAGGGTTCTTGCTCTTGGAAAGACCAGACATGGCCTAATTGCTCATTAACAAAAGATCAATTAAGAAGTTACAGAACACCTACACATTGGAGGAGGGCCAAGCACAAGAAAGAATGGCGGTCTCTCTCTCTCTACATACGTCTTTACTTACATATGCCCGTGTAACACAGACACACCACCACCTGCCCCTCGTGAAATACACTAGTGTGCGTGAGAGAAAGTCAGGAACACAGTGACCACCCAGAAGAATCCACAGTGGGTGGCAATGCAGGGGTCTCACTTTCTACTTGTTTAAATTTCTTACAAAAACCATTTAGTACTTCATTAAAAGGGGAAAAGAGGGTGGAGATTTTTCAGAACACAGCTGTGAGGGGGTCTGGAGGAAGGGTCTCCAAATCACCTCTGTGAAGAACTGACTAGCTGGCTGCTCTTCCCCCGCAGTGATTCTAGCCAGGGCCCCAGGCCGCTCATCAGGGCAGACATCTAGGGGTGGGACCCGACCTAGCTGACTGCACCCCCAACACCCACTCCTTCAGCCTGGAAGATTCCCAGTTGCTCTCCACCAGACGGCGCCAGAGATGAGGCTGGTAGCCGCTAGGGTCCCTGGCCAGTTGGAGCACTTCGCAGCGGGATGGGGCTCCTGTCAGGCTACCCCCCTTCTCCGCACCCTCCGTGCTACCCAGCGGGCTGGGCAGGAGTAGGGAGCGGGAGGGCCGGGCTCCCCGCCCAGCTGGAGCATCCGGCTCCGCCTCCTCCTGGAAAGACTATTTAGTTCTGGAGGTGCTGAGGCCAGGTCCCAAGCAGGACCCCGACCAACCACAGACCACAGACTGACTGAGGAGGTTCCCCACCCACCAGGTGCTCCCTGCCCAGCCAACAGCAGACCTACCGGCCCGCCTTTCACCTGACACCTACTCGCCGACAGACGTAGGTACGAGCTTGCCTGTCCCCACGCCTGTGCCCTTGATCACCAAGGCTTCCCAACAGGCTGGGGAAAGGGGTGGCTGGAGGTGAGGGCCGTCGGTCCTCCACACCTGCCTGGCTCACACTCCCTCCAGCCCCGCCCGCCATGGCCCGGCTCCTGACGGTCACCTTCGGTTGCATCAGCCTGCTCTACCTGCTGCTCCCAGGCACGCTGTCCCGCAGCCTGGGCCGGAGCCAGCAGCCTGCCCCACCCAGGTGAGTGGGGTTCACACCAGCCCAAACCGTGGCCCGCAGGGAAGGAAACCAGAATGCCTGGGGAGGGCCCCCTCCATTCCGCTCCCCATACCCCCCTCCTCCCATTCCTCCAGCATTGGGGAAACCTCCCACCTGCTGCCAGGGCTTACCTCCTAAATCAAGGGCCAGAAAATATGCCTTCAGCAAATCCTGAGCAGGGCAGGAGGCCCCTCTTTGTTTGCCTCTCTCCTAGGGCCCTCCCCTCCCCCATTGGTAGAGCAACCCCCTCAAGGAGAGGTTGGCTAGGAGAGGGGAGGCTGGAGGGATCCCCAGGATTGCCCACCACCCCCTACCCCACCCCAAGGGGAGGGCTGGGAAGGGGGGGTCACACAGGTCATGAACATAGTGACCCACAGAGGCCAGCACTGCCCTTTGCCCAGGGAGGCACAGGTGAATGGACATGTGACCTGGGCTGCTGAGGT